TCGCGAGGAGCAGGCTGGGTTTCGTTCTGGTCGAGGATGTATTGATCATATCTTCACCCTCCGCCAAATGTTAGAACACCGCCATACTTTTCAAAGGCCAACAATCGTAGTGTTTCTTGACATCAGGGCTGCCTTCGATTCGTTGGACAGGACTGTTCTCTGGGAGTGTCTATTGAAGAAGGGTGTGCCTGAGAAGTTTATTAACATCCTAAAAGCCCTGTATAAAAACACCTCAGGCAGAGTGAGGGCATACAACCACCTCTCTCCATCGTTCCATTCGAGCAGTGGGGTTAGGCAGGGTTGCCCAATCTCACCATTCCTCTTCAACTTTGCCATCGATGACATTCTGGAAACAGCTCTGATGAATGTAAGTAATGGTGGTGTGGGACTTTTGCCTGGAGAAAGACTTCTCGACCTTGAGTATGCGGACGATATTGTCTTACTGTGCGATAATGCCCAAGGCATGCAATCCTCACTTAATCAGTTGGCGATCAGTGTCCATAGGTACGGTATGTGCTTTGCACCTTCGAAGTGCAAATACTTCTACAAGACTGGCAGGATTCCAATCCTGTACTCACCCTGGATGGTGAACAGATAGAAGTATTCGAGAAGTTCGTGTATCAAGGTAGCTGCATAAATGCTGGTGGGGGTGTGAGTGATGAGATCAATGCATGTATAGTGAAAGCCAGAGTGGCTTATGCCAATCTGGGCCATCTTTGGCGCCTTCGTGATGTCAATCTGGCTGTAAAAGGTCGAATCTACAACGCGTCGGTGAGAGCAGTTTTGCTCTATGCTTGTGAAACCTGGCCTCTCCGAGTTGAGGATGTTAGATGACTCTCTGTGTTTGATCATCGCTGATCTCCGAAGGATTGCTGACATTCAGTGGCAACACCATGTCAGTAATGCAGAGGTTCGGCATCGTGTGTCCGGGCACAGAGATGATAATTCAGTTGGTGTCACCATCTTGAAACACCGACTTCGGTGGCTTGGACATGTTCTTCGAATGTCGTCCCAGAGAATTCCACGTCGTGCATTATTTTCCGACTCTGGGACTGGTTGGAAGAAGCGGAGAGGTGGTCAGTGCATGAAAGAAAGCTCCAAAGAGCTGGCTTCTGTTGGTCCATCACGACTCTCTGGTTGGGGTCGGAGAGATGGTGTGACACAGTGGCTAGAGACCTTATCAGATATGGCTCAGAATAGAAGCCAGTGGCGATCGTGCTGTAACCTTCTTTTGCTTTCTTCATAAAAAAAGTGGTTGTGTCTCCCTTACCTGAAAGATTTCTTCTGATTGTACCTTTCCGTTCCCTCATTACTACCACACTACCTTACACCAATCTCTTCGTTATTGTTCTCTTTTTCTTTTGCGCTCCCTAGCTTTTTTTTTCTATTTCTCTCTGATATCTCATTGTTTTGTGTGGCGCATATATATATTGGCGCTCTCTTGTACCAATATTCATGTGTTCAAATAAATAAATAAACATGATTTATATCGCGAAGGCTTAGGAGATTGGTGTTCTGAACTCAACAGGTAGGGGTTAGGTGGAAAGCAGGATCGATAAAGATTCTAGACTGTTCATACAAGTTTTATACGTCATTGGTCCGATCGATAATTCACTATTCTCTAATCGACGGTATCATTACGCTATACATACATATTGATAGGGGACATAGGATACAAATGATAACAGATAGATAATAAGGAATGAAATAGATAACAACACCATCATCAACAATAACAATAACAAAAAGTAAACCACAATATAAATGATATCACTTACTTCAATATAATTTGCTAATATAGATGGACTTAATTCAGATTCTAATACACTTGTATTCAATGAATGTTTATAACAGCAAGCAATTAATGTTGGATATAAAATATCTGTTAATGGACAATAACTAAAATATTCAAAAGGTAATGATAATAAACGTTGAAGTAGATTTGGTGATGAACCACATTGTAAACTAGTTTGATTATCCGAATTTAACACACATAAATAACCAATACATAAGATAACTTCATGTAAAATATGATTGGTGATTTCATACATAGAAGATGATTTTGTAAACCTTTTATAAGAAAAAGAAAACATACACAATCATTATGTAAGATCAGTGGGGGGTGAGGTAAATGCTCAGCCAGTCAGTCAGTAACAACGTACAACTTCGTACGTACGTACATCAGTTCGAGTTGCCACACCACATTAGCACAGTGATGAACTTGTCGATTCAAATCCCATACTGATAGAGATAGTAAAAGTATAAACAGTGATCGGAAACATTATGGTTTAAAGTTGTTATTCAAGGAATATAATCTAGTGAAATAAATTTGGAAAGAGAAAAAAAGGAAGGGACATGAAGAATTCATAAGTTTAAAAATTGGGGAGACCACAAAGAGTGGATGCATCTGCGCCATTGCAAATGATTTTGAGCTATGTCATTCAGGGTCTCTAACCATCGGTTGCTATCATCTCGCGATAAATACTACGACTTTTATGATTTTTGAGATGGTAGAGAAGAATTGTTATCTGAGTTGAATGGTTTTGGTCGTGAAGATTTCATTGTTCTTCTGAAGGACATCATCAATACAAACCTCAGGTAGAAGGGAAGCGTTCAAATTTCTCCATATGTGACTTACAGCTTGTCTTGTCGATTGTGATCTACAGATACCTGTTATGACAGGTTAAAGGTCAAGAACAATTTAAAGTTTGTGCCGATGACGTTATTCAGAAGAACAATTAAAGCTCCACGATCAAAATATCCAGTTCAAAGAAAAGAATTCCACCTAAATCTAAATTGATTCGTAGTATTAATCCCTGAAGTCATTGACAATTAGACGAAACAATATTAAAAAGTGTATAGTACTCCGCTGGGGTCTGACTGTTTATCATACCTGAAAACCATTCACAATGATACAAGAGTGTACTCACACTTAAGCTTGTTATTAGAGCCTGAAACCCGTAATCTCCTTATACCTTTTTATTTGTCATGAAATAATTTTATCACATTGTACTGTGCTATGGATAACTTGAAATGGTGCACATATGTGCAAGGTTCTACATCGTGCATGACTAACTGATTACTGGTTAAAACTCGGTTCTGATCATACTCCACTTAATTTCAATTTAGGCATCTCAGTAGTAGCATTGTAACGTATGTTACTTATGCTGACAGATGTAAGTAGTATGTATGTAAGTTATGATTACAAAATTTATAACTGTGGTGAACAGTTCTATTCACTAATTATCATACTCTAATGAGATAATAGGATAGGGAGTGAAGTAATCGAACGCGTCGACAACTTCACTTATCTTGGAAGTCTGATCAGCCCTAATATGTTGGTGTCTGACGAAATCTCTGCACGGATTCAAAAAGCTCGCTTGACTTTTGCCAACTTACATCACCTATGGCTGAGGCGAGATATCCATCTTTCAATTAAAGGACGAGTACACTGTGCGGCAGTTCGCTTTATTCCACTTTACGGCTGCGAAACATGGCCATTAAAAGTAGAAGATACTCGTAAGCTAGTATTTGACCACATGTCTTAGAAATATTGTTCGTATCTCCTGGGATCACCCGGTAAGTAATAGTGAGGTTAGACACAGGGTATTAGGGAATGATGATGGTAAATCAGTTGATGAGGTTGTGAATCTCCATGGACTGAGATGGTTGGGCCACGTGTTACATATGCCTGAACACCGATTACCACGACGTGCAACGCTAACCGGTGTTGGAGATGGTTGGAAGAAAGTTAGGGGCGGCCAAACCAAAACGTGGCATCAGTGCTCGAGGTCACTAACTTCTAGTCTGAGTCATGTTGATGATAGATGAAGACTAGTTGGTTGGAGTCCATCTGACTATCGTAACCGATGGTTGGAGACTCTTGGCGACATGGCTCAGAATCGATCACAATGGTGTAGGTGTATACACTCTCTGTCTTCCTTCAAACTAAGCTATGAGATTAAAGTCGCTTCAAATCTTTCTTTCGACGAACTAATTCCTTCTTCCTGTACTATATCCTTATTGCAATCTTTCTTTTATATATTACCACCTCTGAATTAACTACTTTTATGAATCCGGTGTCCATCTTGTTGTGTTAATGAGGTATGGTAACTTGGACTGATGCATATATGTGCCTGGTCCTACGTTGTAGCTAACTAACTAACTAAAACCAATACTTCAGGTTTTCAATGATGGTCTAACTTAGATGGGCTCGTAAATTCAACTGTTAAAATGATCTTCGTTTCCAAAATGTTTGCATTTCACTACCGCTTATGAATATCAATGAAAATTCAAGAATCAAGTGATAATAAAAAGTGCATAACTACTGATTAAATGATTGATACGATTGTCAAAATTAGTTCTATTTCCAAGAGAATTTTCTACAAATCCTTTTTCCCAAAAGGCGAAAGATTTATCCGCAAATGAGGAGACACCTGATCGATGGTGGTGAGTCGGCTCTCCCTCTAAAAATACTCTCACATGGCCACGCGTATACATCCACTCCAAGGGAAGTCCTATGAAATTAAGAGGACGAAAAAAGAATTCCCTGAGCTTTAACCGGGTTTGTGTGCACGGAAGGTCCACCAAGAGGAGTTGGGAAACCCTCATTCCAAACCAATCGTGTATATAGGCTCCAGGATCCTGAGGGAACAAATGGCGTGAGAACCAATCGTTAATTAATGCCTATCATAAGACTGCGTCTCCTGGCGTTGCTCCACTGCCTTATGGATCCGACCTTCAAGTTGAAGGCTCCGGTTACGGTCCTCTAAGAAAACTAAATGCTTCGGTCGGGGAACTCAGGCAGTATCACAGACCACACACAAATCGAATGATTTATATGGCGCATATCTGTTTCATGCCTCTTTATACCAATGTTTATGTGTTCAAATAAATGAAAATTTTTTCCCAAAACAACATAACCTACTTGTTATCAATTGCTTGAGTATCACCATTATGTGAACTAGTCAACTTTGTTGTAGATTTAGTTGAATTTTTACATTTAACAATCTGAGTATGTTCATTATTTATCGATTTTAATGATTGTGAATATTTTGGTTTGACAATAATTTTTCGTGCACCACTTGGTAAAAGAAGAAGATCTGTCGCATCATCATAATCATCATCAACATCATGATCATTATTTAATTGATATAGACGATTATTATTAATACTACTGTGATTAAATGTTTTCGATCTACATTCTACTTGACACTGTTGTTGATGTTGTCGAGGAGTAGAAGGATGATGTATTGAAGTTTTATCCGAATTGTTTTGTTGTAGAGAACAAGTATTCGATTGTGGAATACAACGTGTCAGAAGATTTAACAATATATGTCTCATTAATAGACAAATAAGTTCACCGCCAAGAATTGACTGAAATATAATAAAATATATTATATATTTATCAATTTGTAGCGTATTTATCTTTCAAGGTTTAATCTTTCTTTCTACGAACTAATTCTTTCTTCTTGTACTATATCCTTATATACAATCTTACCACAATTGACATAACTACTCCTATGAATTCGATATTCATCTTACTGTGTTAATGCGGTCTGGTCCTTTATTTGAAATTGTCAAGTTCAACCTTGCAAACTATTGTATATTAATTACTAGTATATTGTTAGTCAGTTGGTCACAAAGTAAAACTTCGTACGTTCGTACATCAGTTCGAGTTACTATACCACATTATCACAGAGATTTAGTTATCGATTCGAATCCCGTAGTGGTAGAGGTAGTTAAAGTATAAGCAATAGTCGAAAAGATTAGGGTTTGAAGGTGTTATTCAAGGAGTATAATACAGTGGAATAAATTTGGAAAAAGGAAAAAAAGGAAAGGGATATGAAGAATTCAGAAGATTAGAATTTGGGAGAACACAAAGAGTGAATGCACCTGCGCCATTGTAAACGATTTTGAGCTATACCATTCAAGGCCTGTAACCATCGGTTGCTAACGTCTCGCGGATCCCAACCAAGTAGTCTACACCCACCAACATGGCTCAGTCCACTTGTCAGTGACTTCATGAATTTGTGCCATGTTTTGGTCTGGTCGCCCCTAGCTTTCTTCCAACTTACTCCTACACCATAAAGCATCACACATCGAGGCAGTCAGTGGTTGGACATACGTAACACGTGTCTCAGCCATCTCAACTGATCAAATTTCACCACTTCATCAATTGATTTGCCATCCTTACCTAGTACCCCTTTCCTAACAACTGCGTTACTTACTCGGTGGTCCCAGGATATATGAGCAATGCTTCGAAAACACCTATTATCGAATACTAGTAACATACGAATATTCTCTACTCTTACTGACCATGTTTCATAGTCATCAAGTTATCATATCATTTGTAATTTCATTTTTATAAAGTTGTTTGTAAGGCATTGTGGCAAGCCCATTTTCGTCACTGTATCATTTGTCTACTCATTGTAACTCAGACACTTAATTCATCATGTTAATTTCTGTGTGCATTTCAGACTCTTAATTCACTATGTTAATTTCAGTGTGTATGATCAAATGCATTGCTGTACATTAACCCTTAAGCTATCCTCCTATTGGTTGCAATGTGCAGATAATCGATAATTTATCCACACTAGATTAACCCTCAAAAATATATATGGATTTTTAACACACACACACACACACACACACTCATTCTGTTTCGTCGTGTGCTTGCTCGCTGAACGCTTGTGGATTTATATTAATCATTAACAATAAATTATCTCTACAACTGGTGTTCAGGCTTCTCAATAATCTCGAGTAAATCCGTAATTCTACTAGGAGATTAAGCCAACCTTAAATACTCAGTTTACGGGATATTATTTATTGGAGTCAGATATAGAGGACATTAGCCTCAACAACATACATCCTTATTGACTGTGACTTTGAAGTGTTATTAACGTTATGGATATCGCATGATTTGAAGTTCGTAAAATTTATTGTATGGCGTTTAAGTAGTACTGCTTTTCAAATGAATTCTGGTCTTTCATAATGATATTTTATGTCATCTGCTCGTCAGATTAGTTATCTTTAGAAGAATTTCCTGAATCGACCTAGTCACATTATCCAAGAACCTAAACTGTATTAGGCACGCAGAGAGTAGTTTGAACGTACAACCTAATTGAGTGAAAGTTGAATGCATTTAACTACAGTATCACTGACAAAAATGATTCGAATATAAGTTTTCATCATGAAATTATATTTCCGACAATCAAAGAGTATGAAGTCAACCAATCCATCTTATGTTATGAGACCTTTTAGCAAAATATATACTATCATGATGCCATACAGAATCAAACCAAGAACATTTGAACTGTTTTCGGTGGAGTTTTGTTCTCTGAGCTGGATGGTTTGGTCGTGGAGCTTTCATCGTTCTTCTGAACGACATCATCAGCACAAACTTCAGATAGAAGTGAAGTGTTTGAATTTCTCCATATGTGTCTCAAAGCTTGTTCTGTGCACCTCGACGTTGATTGGTTCTTATTGACCTTAAATTTGTCGTTGTTTACTTCTTTGTTTTGGTTGTGTCTCCCATTGTTTTGATTTTTGTTCGTATGTTTGTGCATGATTTTTCTGATTGGTTGATAAATTGGATTGATTTCAATATGCTTGTTGATTGCTGATTGACCTGAGTGCCAGGCTTCTAAAAATTCTCTCGTGTTTTTGGAGTTTCCTCTGTCTAAGATTTCCACATTTTTCCAGTCGAATGAGTGTCCGCAGTTGTCCACGTGTATTGAGATAGATGAAGAGATATCATGCCGTTTGACTGCTTCTCCACATTTGAACTGTTTCAACAAAATAGTCGAAACTATTTAAACGTTTATTTCAATTTGGAATGGGACGGATTATTCTAATGTTAATATTGTTGAATAAAATTTGAACACCACTAAACACATCTCACCTATTTATTGGGTTACAAGTGCTCTATAGAGACAATCATCATAGAGATTACCCATGTATGTACCAATCAACACTGATCAAATTTTAGTCAACAATATTAACAACGGGATAATCCAAACAATTTCAAATTGAATTGAGTCTTATGCCGGTTTTATAAGTGAATGCTTATCTGGACACAGTAGCTTTTAAGTGAACTACACGATTTCGTTTGAAGCAAACGATACTGGGTTCGAATGTGGATGTGAATATCAACTATAGGATGTTGAAAGTATATTCAAATAACCTGAGTCCTGGATTCCATCATCAGTCACATTCCATGAACTATTTAGATAGTCTGTTTAGAAAGAATAAAATTTTTACATGGAAAGATAAATAGTAAGAAAAAAATTCTTTTTTTTTCTTACCTGCATAGTATTTTTATGAATTGAAGCTAACGAGTTAATTAACTTTAATGTATTCAAAGTAATCTGTGCTATAATTTCACTACTAAAAGGTAATGAATCATGACAGTTGGAATTACACACTGCAGATGATGATGATGATGATTTTGAATTCATTGAAGATTTTTTTGTTTGTGTCGACTTTTGACGATGATCTACGAGTTTGATGTGACAGAAAAATGAACAAAGAATACGGCGGTAGAAAAAGAAAAGAAAATTCATACAAATTGTACACACTACAAGTGAATATCATATATACATCACTTATGCACATTAAAGTTTCACACTAACTGCACTCTATATTAGTACTTTATTTGTAATAGGAATAGCCCCCAAATACCCTGGTACGGCCGAGAGTGGGGAGAGTCAGCTCTCCCTCTCGAAATACTCTCACATGGCCACGTGTATATAGCCTTTGCCAAAAAAGTCCTACTCACTGCCTTCTCGTGGCGGGGGTGTTGTTTACGAAAATGAGAGGACGAAAGGCGAATGTCCGGCACCTTAACCGGATCCCAAACCAAATCAATGGTGCACATGGGCTCCAGTAACCTGAGGGAACATATAGCGTATGAACCAATTGTTGGTCACCGACTACCATGGGAATGCATCTCCTTACGATGCTCCACTGCTTTGTGGATCAGACCTTCAGGTCGAAGGCTCGGGGTGTGGCCCCCTAATAAAATCACCTGCTTCGGTTTGGTCACCCGGGCAGTATTAAAGCCATTACATATATCGACTGAGATTTGTGTGGCGCATATCTGTTTGGTGCCTCCTGGTACCAGTATCTATGTGTTAAAATAAATAAATAAATAAATAAATGAATATCTCCCCTAGTATAATCAAGGGTGATGAGATTTCGCTCTCCTTCTCCAAATGCACTTTTACATGGCCACGCGTATACAGCCATTATCAGGGAAGTACTGTCCACTGCCTTCTTGCGGCATGAGTGTTCTTTACGACACTGAGAGGACGAAAAGAGAATGTCCAGTAAGGCTTTAAACAGGGTTGGTGGGTACAGAGGATCCAGTTAAGGGAGTTAGAAAACCTTGATTCCAAACCAATGGTTCACGTGGGCTCAAGAATCCTGAGTGAACAAATGATGTGTAAGGTGTGATCGATAAACGAACTCACCAATGATAAAGTGAAACGCCCACCACCACATTAACTTTCTTTGACCTTGTATGACTATGTCTTGTTTATTCATCAATCACAATTTGATGTTTATTATAAAACAATATTTGCCTTGTTGTCTCATTTTCCCTATTCTCTAGCTACTGTTCGGTATGTTATTTATGTCTCTGTTTTTCCCCGTGTTGATAGACTGTATTGTTTATTTTGTATACTAACGGTGTCAATTTATGTTTTAGTAACAGATAAAGTAGTTTATCAAGCCAAATAGCTTACTTCTTCTGATTTTGGCTAAACCAAGACTCTGTGCTCGACGGTCTAGAGAATAGCTTGGAGTTACACCTATAGGAAATTGCTTCCTACATGGTGTATGAACCTATTGTTTGTCACCGACTACCATAGGACTGAATCTCCTAACGTCGCTACACTTCCTAGTGGATTAGATCTCTAGGTTAAAGACTTGAGAAGTGGCGCTCTAAGAAAACCACTTGCTTCGATTTGAGCGCTTAGGGCAGTATCCCAGCCCTCACACAAATCAAATGACGAAATGTGGCGCATATCAATTTGGTGCCTACCAATTAATTTTTAATGTGTTTAAATAAATAAATTGATAGATAAGCACATGCTTCCTTCAAATTTGTCAGGACTTGATGTAATTAATGGAGGAGTTATAAGCGAAGTAGAATGTGGAATAAATATGCATCAACCTGCATCGTCTGTCATCAAATAATATTAGTAAAATGAGATAAAACTAGCAGTTAGTCAGTCATATATAATGTAGAACCTGCCAACTATATGTATCGGTTCAATTCGTCAGACTACGTCAGGAAACAGGAATGAAAATCAAAACAGCAGAAGTATTATTATCAGTAATAATCCAGCAGATATCATGATAAACAACCAACTAACAGAAATAACAGAAGTATGAGTAACAGTAAAAGTGATTACATATATTAATAGACATGGTGTATTTTATTAATTCATTGACTAAGATGGTTGAAATATACGTTACATACGTTTAAACACTACCTACTTCGATGTGATATTAGCTGATGTAGGGATGATTTAGAAGAAAGCTACATACAGCCAAACTAAGACTTGTCATCAATTCATTAAGTAAGTCACTAACCGTTGATCTAGGCTTTGTTATAAAGTGAAGACCGCCGCCTGGTTGGGGTCTACGCAGTAACCACGACTAGTGATTGGATGTCATAGTCCAGCATTATTTACAACAGTATAGATAGAATTCATCTTTATATGAGACATAAAAATTCTTAGAAAAAGTTTTGTTTCCTCTTTTCATCGTTCAAGTATCGTTGCATATAAGCTATTCAATCTGTTCCTCCGGTTTATGTCCAAATTTTCGGACCACATGTATCGCATTCTTTCTCTCTTTTGTCGGCCATAATTTGCATACCAAGAAAATACAACCGTTTTATTAATCAACATACCTATATTATCGGAACATTCTGATGTTGGCATAATGCAATTCGTTGTTGTCTGATGTGAATCACTATTCACATTAACTCCTAATGTTGTCATTGTATCAACTGATCGACTATTTTTTGGATCCAATAAAAGACAATATAATAATGGCACTAAACCAAACACTTCAGTACTACTAATAGTTTCTAACAATTGTGTTGGATCTTTGAATTTTTTCTTTGAATCCAATTTATCAGATGAGTTCACTTTGACAGATGTGTTGGTAATTGTTGTTGGATCATGAGATGAGTTAATATTTTTACTATGAAACAAACAAAAAAACATTACAATTATTAAAAGCAAAGATGCCAATAAGAAACTGATCAATTACAGGCCTAGATATCAATGGAAAGACTATCTAGACAAAGTAGCTAGGTGAGTAACGCGATGATGTTTGAAGCTAATGGTACTGAGTTCGAGTCCCGGAGTTAAAATCACCTCCGGAATGTTACAGGTACATCCAGTCGACAAATCCCGAATAAGACGGAATGCGCCTCCTGGATTCCACTGCTAGCCACCATCCATTCATCACTGCTTATAATATGCTTGTGACTTAAGGCAATATCGTGCAATCCACACAGGATGCACGTAAGGCAATAAGAGACTGATCAATTGCAGTCCTAAACATCAATGGAAAGATTCAAGCAACCAATACAAAAATGAATTAGACATTACAATAATAGAAATTCAATTAAAAAGTAATTATGGACGTCTACTGAATTGAATCTATTGTAATTTTGAAAAAAAATACTTTTCACTAAAAAGTAATAACATTCAGACATCAGTTAAGTGTATGACAGTGACCTTCAGATCAAAGGATCCGAGTGTAGCTCCCTAAGAAAATCACCTACTTCAGCTTGGGCGTCTGGGCAGTATGTCGGTTCTCACAAAAAGTGAATGATTTATGTGGCGCATATCTCCTTGGTGCTCTCTTGTACCAATGTTTGTGTTTGAATAAATAAACAAATAAATATCCTTGAATTCTAACCATAAATCATTAGTTCTGAAAAAACACTAACCTGGTGAGATGATACTTTATGTAATTTATTTATTATTTATTTGAACACATAAATATTGGTACAAAGGGGCACCACATATATATGCGCCACACGAAACAATGAGAATTCGAAGAGAAAGAAAAAAGGCAAGGAGCGTGAAAAAAAAAGAGAACAATAACGAAGCGGTTGGTGTAAGGTAGTGTAGTAATAATTAGTAATAATGAGGGAACGGAAAGGTACAATCAGAAATCTTTCAGTTAAGGAAGACACAACCACTTTTTTATGAAGAAAGTAAAAGAAGGTTACAGCACGATCGCCACTGGCTTCTATTCTGAGCCATATCTGATAACGTCTCTAGCCACTGTGTTGCACCATCTCTCGGACCCCAACCAGAGAGTCGTGATGGACCAACATAAGCCAGCTCTTTGCAGCTTTCTTTCATGCCACGACACCATGTCATGCACTGACCACCTCTCCGCTTCTTCCAACCAGTCCCAGAGTCGGAAAATAATGCACGACGTGGAATTCTCTGGGACGACATTCGTAGAACATGTCCAAGCCACCGAAGTCGGCGTTTCAAGATGGTGATACCAATTGAATTATCATCTCTGTGCCCGGACACACGATGCCGAACCTCTGAATTACTGACATGGTGTTGCCACTGAATGTCAGCAATCCTTCGGAGATAACGATGGTCAAACACAGAGAGTCATCTAACATCCTCAACTCGGAGAGGCCAGGTTTCACAAGCATAGAGCAAAACTGCTCTCACCGACGCGTTGTAGATTCGACCTTTTACAGCCAGACTAACATCACGAAGGCGCCAAAGATGGCCCAGATTGGCATAAGCCACTCTGGCTTTCACTATACATGCATTGATCTCATCACTCACACCCCCACCAGCATTTATGCAGCTACCTTGATACACGAACTTCTCGAATACTTCTATCTGTTCACCATCCAGGGTGAGTACAGGATTGGAATCCTGCCAGTCTTGTAGAAGTATTTGCACTTCGAAGGTGCAAAGCACATACCGTACCTATGGACACTGATCGCCAACTGATTAAGTGAGGATTGCATGCCTTGGGCATTATCGCACAGTAAGACAATATCGTCTGCATACTCAAGGTCGAGAAGCCTTTCTCCACGCAAAAGCCACACCCCCATTACTTACATCCATCAGAGCTGTTTCCAGAATGTCATCGATGGCAAAGTTGAAGAGGAATGGTGAGATTGGGCAACTCTGTCTAATCCCACTGCTTGAATGGAACTTTATGAAATGAACTAATCAGACAGCACCTTTTATGTTGTTGAATAAAATATACCTGGACCTCAGTGTTGATGTTCGTACAGAGGCTAGAACCTAGAGTTTATCGTTTCACACATCAACGCGATATCTATTTATTAGATACAGATTAGTGTATATGGCTTCCAATCATACACTAAGTGTGAAAGCTAATGATAATGTCTGATGGCCTAAAACAAAGTAGTAAACAAAGAAGTAAGAAGGATGAACCTGCGATTAAAATAATTGAAAATCAATAGCGTCAAACACTAAACCACTGCTTGATCTTGATGGAAGATGGATGAGCAGAAGGTTTAGAGGTTCTTACCGATCCAGTCTAACCACTTTAAATTATAGATAATACTTTAAATTCCAATCATCTCATAACAATCAACTTACCATTTTACAGTTAACACATTTACACAACTTTCTGAATCATTTTCTTCTTCAATTTCTGTTACTTGATCCTTTCCTACTGAATCAACAACAATTAATGACTTTGAAATTGAAGAACAACTTGATGTAGTAACAGTTGAATTGGACGTTTGTTGATAATGATGATGATGTTCAACATTCAATTGATCATCATTACTTTGTTTAATTGATAAAACACCAAGTAAACGTGTAAGGCTTGTTAAAAATGCAATACTACTTAATACAAATTGTTGACAATATTCTGCATATTGTTTAGGTATTGAATTCGATTGTCCAACATCAGTATTATTATTTATTGATGATAACCAATTAGCTTGTTTTGGATTTGACAATCTGATCGATATTAAATCAACTAAACCGCTACTTACAATGTAGCTAAGTAAATCCTAAATATTAAGAAATATGAAAGAACCATATTGAAATTATTCACTTGGTTTATGTAAAACAAAAGATGAATACAATGAAGTTCTCATCGTCAAAGATTGATATTGGTCAGTTTCTTTAGTGGCATATAGTATATCCTGAGCGGATTGCTTCGGTATTCCCATTTTTAGTTATAGATTTCGTAGTGGTTAGCAATGCGATTCAATATGCGTGTTTCGTCCCACTTGAGACTCATCAGTTGGATATATACTTGCGATTCGAATATCACGTGCCTATTGTTTTAACGTAGTATCTATTAAGCTAATGAATTTAAATTTATTAAATACTGAAACAAATTGGTCTAAAGTTTTGTATGAAATCTGACTAATTTACGACAAATAATAAAATTTATAATGATAATTCACCAGGTACTTGGCTATGAACCACATTCTACGTGTAAAGAGTAGTGAAACTCCATGATAGGTCAAAAGTGAAATAGGAAGGGTTGGGTTCAAAATCTAGTAACTACAGATCGAACGCTTTAACTACTAAGCTATCAAGTATAATTTTATGTATATATTACTCATGAGTATTTAATTAATTATTTATTTTAATACATAGATATTGGTACAAGAAGGCACCAAATACATATGCACCACACAAATCTCATTCGATTTGTGTAATGGCTTTAAAACTGCCCGGGTGACTAAACCGAAGCAGGTCGTTTTCTTACGAGACCACACTCGGAGACTTCGACCTGAAGGTCTGATCCACAAGGCAGTGGAGCATCGTAAGGAGATGCAGTCCCATGGTAATCGGTGACCAACAATTGGTTCATACGCCGTTTGTTCCCTGAGGATACAGGAGCCCATGTGCACCACTGGTTTGGAATGAGGGTTTTCCAACTCCCCTAGGTGGACTCTCCGTGTCTACCAACCCAGTTAAAGTACCGGTCATTCGCTTTTAGTCCTCTCAATTTCGTAAACAACAATATTGCCGCGAGAAGGCAGTGAGTAGGACTTCCCTTGCAGAGGCTATATACGCGTGGCCATGTGAGAGTATTTCGAGAGGGAGAGCGAACTCTCCCCACTCTCAGCCGTACCAGGGCATTTGGGGGCTCCAATGGTTGTCTAAGTAAAGATATTCTGTGATGTAAATAACAAATTGAAAGCTTTTCACAACTCCCTTATACTAACAATAATCATGTGCTCATTTAGTGATCAACACTACTTGGTAGTTTTCAGATATCCAATGTGAAGTCATGATCAATGGGGTTCAACCGTGTTGAATTTGAAAAAGATCTAAGTAATTCTTATGTGGTTTCACGATCACGCAATATTAGTTATTAAATTAAGTTAGTAATGCAAAACATTAGTTGTCAACTTCATGGTTTGATAATTCTAGGTTCAATTCCTGATTTCATCTTAGTTGCTTATTGTTTAAGGAGTCTTGTACTGTAAATGAAACAATTGGTTTCTAATGATATCCTAACTTAGATCAATTAATGACGAATGCCCTCATTTACAAAATAAAATAAATTCCACAAAATCACTTCATTTTCATAGGGTAGAAAAATGATATATTGAATTACATTGGGACAAAGATTCATTAACAGGCGATAACAATTAAGCAGGTTTTACTTCAACTCACAATGTTTAAGTCTATTTGAGTCAGTCAGCTACAACGTAAGATCAGAAACCTATATGCATCAGTTCAAGTTGTCACACCTCATTCGCAAAACATAATGATCACCAAATTCATAGAAATAGTCACTTCAATGGTAGTAATGTGTCAAAGAAAGATTGCATATAAGGACATAATACAGGAAGAAAGAATTAGTTGGTACACACAAAGGTATAAAGTTATTTTAATCACACGGTTTAAGGGAAGACAGAGAGTGTGTACATGTTGAGTCGGCTTTCTGAGAACTGCAACGGAGCCTCCAGATGTCCTAAAGGAGTCGAAGAGTCGTGTCCAATCAGAACATGATGGGGCTTTCTAGAATATCAACGTGGCGTGCTACTATTGGTCAGTAGTATAATATGTCTTTTAGCGGATTTGCCGAAATATGATGTTGATTTAACAAATGTTAAAATCTATAAATACACGTGTTTTTCTGTACAAAAATGAACCTTTGGACTAAAGTGCTTTTCGTTTATTATGTGCCTTTTCTCTCGAGTTCAGGTCGCTGCGTAGTTCTAGCTTATGGGCTACCAGAATAGCTTAGGAACCGAATAAAGCGTTCAAATTGACAAGACTTATCAGTACACCTACACCGTTGTGATCGATTCTGAGTCATATCACTCAGAGTCTCTAACCAATGGTTTGAGGTAATTTTTAATTACTTTACATGAATCAGAAATTATAAGCAAAGATAGATAGAGGCTAGCAGTGGAATCCAGTTTGACACACGTTTCTTCCTATTTGGCACTAACCAGTTGGATCTATCTACCACGTCCCAGAGTTGATACTCTTTTTGGGACTCGAACCCAGTACCGTTCGTTTCAAATGCCATTGCATTATCCACACAGCTACTGAGTCCTGACAGCCACCTGCTTGTGCAATGAAGTTATATTCACTTGGTATTATTTACTTGTATCTTCCCAACAAAAGACTGATTAATTTCAGTCCTAAATAACAATGGGAAGATACAAGTAAACAACACCAAGTGAATCAGGAATTAGTTGTTTTTAAATAATTACTCGGTTTACTGATGTTGACCTATTTAACATAGGTGAATTAGTGGTTTTAAAATAAACCATAGTTTCATTTATTCACATTGATTCATTCATACCTACGGTAAATTTTACGCAAAATTTCGCCGCTATTAAAAAGTTATGTGTGTTTGTAGACTCAGTTGATGGCTTATTTGTTACTCACTGCCTTCTCGTGGTGGGGGTGTTGTTTACGAAAATGAGAGGACGAAAAGCGAATGTCCGGCGCTTTAACCGGATTCCAAACCAATGGCGCACATGGGCTCCACTATCCTGAGGGAACAAATGGCGTATGAACCAATTGTTGGTCACCGACTACCATGGGAATGCATCTCCTCACGATGCTCCACTGCCTTGTGAATCAGACCTTCAGGTCGAAGTCTCCGAGTGTGGTCTCGTAAGAAAACGACCTGATTCGGTTCAGTCACCCGGGCAGTATTACAGCCATTACACATGTCGAATGAGATTTGTGTGGTGCATATGTATTTGGTGCCTCCTTGTACCAATATCTATGTGTTAAAATAATAAAAATCAACACATGGTCAATCATGAGAAAGATATCACAGTAAGGTTAATCAAGATGATAAAAGCATAATATCATGGAATATTAATAACATTACATTACATTTTCATACACCACTAACTACACTTCAATTTAATATTAATATTAAAAAACTGAAATATTACTTGAAGTCGTTGTGAATCAATTCTAACATGTTGTTGTTCATGGCAATCATTATCGAATAAAGTTTTTGCTGTTATTATTGAGGTTAATGATGTTGTCGATGATGAAGGTGTTGGTGTTGTTGTTGTCGTCGTGGCAAATCCATTTATTCCTCCAGATATACTACTACTACGACTACTCATACTATGATTATTATTATTAGTAGTAGTAGTATTGAATTCAGTAGAATAATAGTTCAATTTATAGAAACCATTTAACAGATTAGTTAAACAATTTAATAAATCCAAAGTAAAAGAATGATTAGATAAACAATTAAAAACTAATGAATCTTGATTGAATTGTTCATAGAATGTCGAAGATGACGATTTCTGATCTGTTGTGATTAATAGTGGTGTTATTGTTGATGAACATGAATTACAGTGAATAATATGTCGATTATTTGGAATAGATGTCTATAAATAAGAATGAAAAGAAATCTCTGCATAATGTTAGCTAATTTGTTTGAAAAGCTTTAAGAAAGCAACAATAATCATAGTAATATGAACAAGTAAGAACGTAGTATGTTGTGCTAAGCATTGAGATACTACTTGGACAGTCATAATGAGAAGCGGGAACTAACCACTGAGTCCTTGACCTATAGGTTAAATCTATAAGATAGTTGAGAAACGTCAGGAGATTCACTCACAAGATGTTCAATTACCAAAATGAGTTCAGATGACCATTATTTACTACGAGATTTTAAAGCTCATATAAACTATTTAGTTCAAAATCAGGGTTTTGCGACTTTTTAAAACAATCCATAACCATTAACCGGGTTAAAGTGAGGCAAATTGGATTTACGTCCTCACATTTTGGAAAAACATATTACCAGTTACATGAAAGCAGAGAGTAACAGTTTCATGATAGAGGTTATAAACGACCGTCATTTGAGAGATTTAGTGAACTCTTCCATCCATATTTGCTGCTGTGCACACAGAACCTTAAGGATGGTGAAAGAGCTAAAAAGATCAATTTTAGACCAAGTATTTGATGTCAACAAAATTTTAGTTGTACATATGGAACATGGAAGTAATATTTTTCCCTCTCCAAATAATCCCATTATTCAATATAATGCAAAGAACGTCTGAGTTCAAAGATATATTGATTGAACGAATATATGCAGTATAGATTTTATCTGAGGTCTAATTGCTATATTTCCGATAAGCAAATACAAAGCTTTGATTAAAATAGGTCTGAGTGATGTTAGTTATAAGCAGTTCATCGGTTGGTACTATATATGAGAAATAAAAGTCTGTTTTCCTTACACTTGGCTACAACAGTTATAAAATAATTAGAAAGTTTGATTTTAAGTTAAATGATATAGAGTATAGAACTTATCCCACAGTCAAGTTATTTGCTTTATATTAAACAAATAACTCATTGAAATAGAGTCAAAAGTGAATAAATTGCTAACATATACTACTTACAATCGCTTACGTTTGCATATGTACGTCAGCGAATAGAAAATTAAAAAATGAAAGGTATCAGTATCAGAGAGGGTTTTGTGGAGATTGTAGCAGTTTCAATAGTTGAGATCATGAGTCGATTGAAGCTAGACCACCATCGAAAACCCAGAAACATTGGACGGAGGTTTCGTCCTATTGTGGAACTCCTCAGTAGTGCACGCCCACGACCCCGCTTCGAGGGATTCGACCCTAGGACCTATCAGTCTCGTACCAGGAGCTTAACCACTAGACCACTGAGCCGGCATCCAAGTTAGACATTACCACAGTTGGATGCCCACTGGTTCAGTGGTCGTGTGTGAGACTGATAGGTGCTGGGTTCGAATCTCGCGAGGCGGGATCATGGATGCGCACTCCCAAGGAAGAATCCCACAATAGGACGAAACGGCTGTCCAGTGCTTCCAGGTTTTCCATGGTAGTCTAGTTCCAATTCACTCATGATCTCAACTCTTGAAAGGTACCAGTATTATTCACATTTCCAAAAACATTCTACTGAAATTGAGACGGTTTATTTCCCATGATAATTCAAACTAATCAAAATCAACGTATATTGATAGATCTTTTCTGAAACCATCAGAATTTAAACCACATTTACATTTTCTAAACGACATTGTATTCAGTTAAATATGATCATTGGAAATATCTCTAGGAATGAAATCAATGTCATTCTGTTACAGTCATCAATAACTTGTATAAATACTCGAATATTATTTATAATCCTGTTTAGATTACATTGATTCTAAGAAAAATACGTGATCTACGATGTGTTTTATTTTATTTGGATTTCATCAAGTGCATGAAATTGTTGTGATAACGGCTATGCAGTCCCATGGTAGCCGGTGAGCAATAATCGATTCATACACCATTTCCCCCCCCGGATTATGGAGCCGATATGTACCATTGGTTTGGAATGAGGGTTTTCTAACTTCCCTAGATGGATCCTTCATATCCATCAATCCGGTTGTAGCGTCGGACATTCGATTTTCGTCATTTCAATTTCGTAAGCAACTGTCTGGTCGCTTAAGAAGGACTTTTCTGGTAGTGGTTGTATGTACTTGGTCATGTAAGAGCATTTCGAGAGGGAGAGCTGACTCTCCTCACTCTTGGCCGTACCAAGGCATTTGGCGGCTGAGGTAACGGTACATTTATCATAGTTAAATATAACGTTGATCTGCTCAATTTGAGGATAGATAATACTTTACAACTAACTAACTAACTGCTCAAACTGAAATATACAAAGTGTAGTTTCAAACTTATTTACTTACTTACACCTGTTACCTCTCGTAGAGGTGCATAGACCGCTCCCATCAGAAGTTTCCATCGAACTCTATCCTAGGCTAATAATCTCAAACAGATATTGATTATTCAAAACTTAATGGATTTAACTAGTAATCCAACAATTTCTCATAAGATTGATAAGATAACGATTTAACTAACTGTAGTAAACATATTCGTACATTTATACGCATATTCGTCAAGATTAGAACGAATAGTTTGACAGTAATTGAGCGCCGAGTATAGAGAAGTCATTATATGTGAAAATTATATTTGAAATATTCTCAGCGATTGAAATTTAACTAATTCCAACGTTTCGTCCAGCTAACTTGTCTGGACTTCCTGAAGAAGTCCAGACAAGTTAGCTGGACGAAACGTTGGAATTAGTTAAATTTCAATCGCTGAGAATATTTCAAATATAATTTTCACATATAATATTCGTACATTGTTTACGAAACATAATCCTTTTTCAACATTATCATAACAATGTGATACAACATATCAAATGACAAGAAAAAAAACACGAGATACACATAGATAAACATCAAGAAACCTCTCATCAGAAGAAAGAACCATACCAATAAATATAGATCATTCACATTAAGTAATAATATAATTAACATGTCACATTAATTATTTCATTTACAAAACAAACAATTAAGATATTAGTATACATTGATCAATTGATTTTTCATCATGACTCTACACTCCAGAGGTTAAGTTTTCGAGCGCGAGACCGAAAATCCTGAATTCGAATCCCATATACGGGATCGTGAATGTGTACTACTGAGGAATCCCATACTAAAACGAAATGGCTGTCCATTGCTTACAAGTTTTCAATAGTGGTGTCTAGCTTAGACTGACTCGTGAATTCAACTGTGAAAACACAACAATCTTCACAAATCCTCATACTGATAATACATACATATAGTTATGATTTACAACGATGAAATAATGCTCATTGAGTAGGCAAGTTACGTAAATGATCTTGAGTAATCGGAAGAGGACTATGTTGCATGATATATGAAAAGAACTAGCAAAATGCTTTACACGCGTTATATAAATTGCTCCACAGGAGCAGCTAAATTAGCAAATATACATGGATGTGGCAAATTCAGATAGTCTACCTTCATTAATCGTTCTAGTTATAGGTCAGTTGTAAAACACGGTATTCAGTCTGGTTTCATTAAAGGTTTTCCGTACTACCTTTCTTAACCTTTGAGTCAGATCACCACTGAAAACCTGTGTTGGGGACGTCAGATCCCCAGAACTCACTTGGGAAAGGACCTAATTTTGTAATTTATTAAGAAAGTTTGAATTTCTTTGTTTTCGCGCCAAAGGCGCTGTCCTCACCTTCATGTCGTATTTCCCACTGGGAAATGTCTTAAATGCTATTGGTCCGTTGCGTCTTTTAGTATGCTATTTGGTAACTCTCTCCAAGGACGGTTTCGCACTATATATATACGTTCTGAATTGTGCTTGTTGTTGTCGCTCGTTTCTGGCTGTTTGCAGAATATACTTCCCCATTCCAAGCTAGGACTTCTCTCTCTAGTTAGCGGAGCTGGGACGCATCAATAGCTAGCTTACTGGTCTTTGGTCATCGAGTCTTATTCTCGTTCGCCGAGTAAGCGAACTCGTGATAGCTTCAAACCTAACAAACTGGAAGAACTGAACGACCATTTTATCCTAGTATAGGACTCCTTAATAGTGGCTCACTCATGTTCTCGTATACAGGACCTGAATCCAGGATCTTCGTTCTCGTATGTGAAAAGCATATTTCATCGATCAATTCGTACATATATATAAGTGTTAATGAAAACAAAAACAAACAAAGTATTTAATATAATCTTACGGTAAATTGTATCACTAAACAATCAACAAGTATTGAAACATTATTTGATAATAACATATAAATAGAAGCAGCAATATTTGAAGTGCACATTGTATGAAGTAGACAACATGCTATTCTATATGTTCTATTTGAATAGAAAATGTAAAAAAAGAAAAAAAGGAAAAGTAAAGTAAAGTAAAGTAAATAGACGAAATTATGATGAAAATGAAAAAGATATGAACTTGATACAAATGAACATACATCGTCATTATATTTAAATTCACTTGGTATTGTTTATTTGAATCTTCCCATTGTTGTTAAGGGCACCAATTGATCAATCTCTTATTGGGATATGTGCATACTGTGCACATTGCCTCTATATTGCATTAATTCATAAGTATTATAAGCAAAGATGGATAATAGCTAGCAGTGGAATCCAGTTTGATGAACGTTTCATCCTATTGGAGACTCAGTAGCTAAGTGGATAATGAAATAGCATTTGAAGCGAACGGTACTGGGTTCGAATCCTAGAGTGAACAACAACTCTGAGATGCAGGTACATCTAGCTGACGAGTCCTAAACAAGATGAATTAAGGCAATATCGAGGCAATACGCACAGTATGCACATATACCAATAAGAGATTGATCAATTACAGTCCGAACCAATGGTGAATATGGGCTCCATGATCCTGATGGAACCTATTGTTGGTCATCGCCTATCATGGAACTGTATCTCCTAACGTTGCTCCACTGCCTTGTGGATTAGACTTTTAGGTCGAAGGCTCGGGGTGTGGCTACCTAAGTAAACCACCTACTTCGGTTTGGGAACCCGGGACAGTATTTCAGCCCTCACACCAAATGATGAAGTGTGGCGCATATCTATTTGAAACCTCCTGACACCAATGTTTGTCTTCAGATAAATAAACATCTTAAAGCTGATAATATAAACCAATACTCGATAAACGAGTTATATACATTTATTCACCTAATTATACCAGTGAAGATAACGACTTACTTCTCCGGGACTAACTGTTTTGAACTAGGCTTCTGTTCTCGAATTAAACCAATGAAATTCACTAGAATTGATAACAAACCATTAGCGAGACAAATTTGTCGATCAGCTAAATTAACTGACTGACTTTGATTTTCATTATCTGGTAAAATGGAATGAGTCTGTGAAAAAAAACAAAATGAGTACATATGGTTAGGTGCATTGTGTAACAGTCACACCTAATAAGCAATGTAGAACCTGAAAAAACATGTACATCAGTTCAAATTGACATACTATATCAGTACAGCAAGATTCGGAGATTCAAACAAACTATGAGCAACTATCTAACATCTTAGCAAAATGTATAATGATTTAGATTAGTGAGTATATTGGCCCCCAAATGCCCTGGTACGACCGAGTGGGGAGAATTCGCTCTCCCTCTCGAAATGCTCTCACATGGCCACGCGTATATATAGCCTCTGCCAGGGAAGTCCTACTCACTGCCTTCTCGCGGCTTGGGTGTTGTTTACGAAAATGGGAGGACGAAAAGCGAATGTCCGGTGCTTTAACCGGATTCCAAACCAACGGTGAGCATGGGCTCCAGTATCCCGCGGGAACAAATGGCGTATGAACCAATTGTTGTTCACCGGCTTCCATGGGACTGCATTTCCTTACGATGCTCCACTGCCTTGTGGATCAGACCTTCAGGTCGAAGGCTCTGGATGAGGTCCCCTAAGAAAACCACCTGATTCGGTTCGGGCACCCGGGCAGCGTCACAGCCCTCACACATATCAAATGAGATTTGTGTGGCGCGTATGTATCTGGTGCCTCCTTGTATCAATATCTATGTGTTGAAATAAAATAAATAATAAATAAATAATATTGAAACTTTATCGATAGAATTTGGTCGATATAGTAAGTTAGAAATACATTACTGCTCATTGGTTAATCAACATAAATCTCTCAATTCGACCGGGGATCAGTTGTGATTAGTAAAGTCTGAGACCGTGAAAATAAATAACCTGCAGTCAAACTCAACAGGGAATTCACAAGGTACCCCCCCTATCAACTATCTTCAATTATTGAATATCAATTACAAATTGTATATTTGCGAATATAGAAAATTAAGAAGAAGAAGAAAAAAACGTTTTATTAGAATTGAACAAAGTTATGAAATAATGAGAAGAGTCAATGAATAAACTCACTTTAGATTGATCATTAGAAATACATCGTAATAAACTATTTAAACATTTTTCCATAGCTTGAACTCGTGTAATTACCCATGGACCAGTATCAGGAAGATTGAGAAAACGATGAGCATTTTTGATTAATTTAATTAAACTAAATAGTGTAAATGTATAGAATTAATGAATATATAATAGAAGGAGTTATTTTGATTTGATTTAAAAACATAAAAAAAATCGGTACAAGAAGGCATCAAATAGATATGCACCATATAAATAATTCGATTTGTATGAGGGCTAAGATACTGCTTGGGTGCCCAAACCAAAGCAGGTGGTTTTCTTAGGTAGCCACACTCGGAGCCTTTGATCTGAAGGTTTAATCTACAAGGCAGTGGAGCAACGTTAGGAGATACAGTTCCATGATAGCCGGTGACCAACAATAGGTTCATACACCATTTGTTCCCGCAGGATACTGGAGCCCATGTGCACCATTGGTTTAGAATGAGGGTTTTCCAACTCCCCTAGGTGGATTCTCCGTGTCTACCAACTCAGTTAAAGTACAGGTCATTCGCTTTTAGTCCTCTCAATTTCGTAAACAACAATATTGCCGCGAGAAGGCAGTGAGTAGGACTTCCCTTGCAGAGGCTATATACGCGTGGCCATGTGAGAACATTTCGAGAGGGAGAACTGACTCTCCCCACTTTTGGCCGTACCAGGGCATTTGGGGGCTATAACATTCTCTTCATAATAATAAAGTGATAAAAATTTGATTCAGATTGAGATGATAACTCTCATGATGTATGAGCAGGTTACTTAAACTATGGAACAATATTTCGGCGAGATTATAATTCTTGGACAAACTAATCAAATATCAAGATAATAAGTCTTGATTGTTGGCACGAAGTTCATTTATTTATACGGCTAAATAGCATTTTGGCATAATAGATTATGTCAGTTCGTGATGATAACATTAACTCCAAATTCCTAATCATAACGTCTAACTTTAAATCCTAATACCTCACAGTAATCCATAACCCTCTTTTGATTTTAGTATGTAGGTGAGGTTTCCCAAAGTAACTTTAGAGTCGCTTAAAGATTATCCACAAATGATAGTCTCATTGTTTGAGGTCGATCACAGACGACCTCCTCGGTAGTAAGCTTTGACCTAATAGTTATACACGTTTCGTTGGGTCAATTAAATTGTGATATTTTTTTCATTGTTAACCTTTTCAACATATTTAGTGATGTCAGTTATCCATGAGAAATACTCTACAATTGTCACACTCCAATATAACCAACTTTTAGTTTAAATGTTTTCTACCCAGTAAGCTTAGAATAAAAGAACCTTCAAGGACCTTTCTAAGTCTTCATGGTAATGAAACACGAAGATTGTATGAAAGTAATAGCTACAACTGCAACAAACATACATATATATGCTCATTTCTATTCTCACCAACTTTCTGTATATAATTGACAAGAATTCTTTAAGCTGAGAAAAAAATCCTTCCTGACTGGAGTTTCCCTTAACTGAACTGCTTCTATCACTATTTGTTTACACTTTCGTATTCTTTTACATTATACTCACCTTTCTTCCTTTATCTTTTCCCAATCTTATTTTTCTTACTGTATGACGTACATGGATTTTGGTACCCTTTTGGTATCAATATTCATATGCTTAAGTATAGTAAGCTGCATTAACAATAGGAATGCAGAAATTGACAGCAGTTCGTTCTGTTTTACTTTACTGCTGCGAAATGTGGCCATTAAGAGTTGAAGATATTCGTAAGCTACTAGCATTTGACCACAGATGCCTTAGAGATATTGCTCACATCTGCTGGGATCACCCGGTAAGTAATAGTGAGGTTAGACACAGGGTATTAAGGAATGATGGTAAATCAGTTGATGAGGTTGTGAATCTTCATCGACTGAGATGGTTGGGCCACGTGTTACATATGCCTGAACACCGATTACCACGACGCGCAATGCTAACCGGTGTAGGGGATGGTTGGAAGAAAATTAGGGGTGGCCAAACCAAAAATGTGGCATCAGTCATTGAAGTCACTAACTTCTAGTCTTAGCCATGTTGGTAGATGCAGACTACTTGGTTGGGTTCCGCGTGACTATCGTAATCAATGGTTGGAGACTGTGGGTGACATGGCTCAGGATCGATCACAATGGCGTAGGTGTATACACTCTCTGTCTTCCCTTAAACACTGAGATTAAAATCGCTTCATATCTTTCTACCAACTCGTTCTTTCTTCCTGTACTATATCCTTATATACAATCTTCCTTTTATATATTACTACCATAGAAGTAACTACTTTTATGAATTCGATGTTCATCTTGTTGTGCTAATGTGGTATGGCAACTTGGACCAATGCATATATGTTCCTGGTCTTACCTTGTAACTGACTGACCTATTTGGATAATGCGATGAGAAGGCATCCAAAAAATGGGTCTATATTACCTTACCATACAGGGTTGACTCAAATAGTTTCATGTTAAAACAAAGACTTAGATTAGCTATCAATAGGATAATTTATGCAGTTCAACTCCTCATCATCAAGAAGTCAAGGTTTATGTCACATCATATCTCATTACATCAATCAATTTATATATAAGTGCGAGAATATGTACAAAGAGAGGAGTAACCAGGATTTGCAAGTAGGGACCAGCTCAACCTGTTATGACTTTATATCCGGCTTTTTATCACGTGATTTATCTACCAATCAAAATACGACTTATACAATCCCAGCACTGTGTCAAACCAATGACGTTCGAGCGGTATGAGCAGCCTAGCGTCCTTATTCGTCCTATGTCCGCCTAATCCGTCCACTTGAGTCCAGAACACCAATACCAACTTACAATATGCGAATCGAGTCATTTATTTCAGACATACTTGGTTTATATATCAACCAAACAGACCACAACGCACCATAAAATAAGAAATAACATTTGTACACAATAAAGCTAAAAAGTGGCTGTGAACATGGGAGGCAGTAGTCAATAAACTGGGAATAACTTAAGAACCGTAAATCGTACAATAATAAATTATAAGTCAAAATAAAGCATATAACAAGGGGAATATAGATATACATAATCTAGTTACCGAATATTTATACCATGAGAATATATAAATAATAATAGTCCATTAATAGGTCCTAGCAGAAGTTACTCGTAATGTAATCTTCACTAGGATATAACACAACACATACTTAAATAGATTGAAATCATGAGTCAGTTGAAGCTAGACCACCATAGAAAACGTGGAAACACTGGACGGCCGTCTTGTCCTACTGTGGGACACCTCAGCAGTGCGCATCCACGATCCCACACCCCGCGAGATTCGAACGCAGGACCTATCAGTCTCGCGCCAGGCGCTTAACCTACTGGACCACTGAGCCGGCATCCAGCGGTGTTAATGTCTAACTTCAACCAATCCACGAAGTTGCGCCACCGTACATCATTGTCTTCAGTGAGTTGATATCTTACAACAGACCTGGTTGAACACCACTAGTAATGACTTCTCACTTGAACTCCAGAAGTGTCTCCTGAAGTCAGTCACTAGTGAGCAGGTGATTATTATTATCAGAATGTGTTTTGTGGAGATTTTTAGAAATTTTCACAGATTGCTCGCGCGTGAAGCCAGTAGGTCCTGGGTTCGAGCCTCGGGTGGTGCGGGTTCGTGGATGCGCACTGCTGAGGAGTCCCATACCACGACGAAACGGCCGTCCAGTGCTTCCAGGTTTTCAATGGTGGTCTAGCTTCAACTGACTCATGATTTCAATCTGTGAAAATTTCTAAAAATCTCCACAAAACACATTCACATACTTAAATAGCTGAAAAAACAAATGAATTCTTATAGTCAAAGAAGATGAGATGATAGACAAATATCTTCCTCTATTGTGAAATATTTAGTTGAGATTGATCATACTGTCGATATTCAGTCAGACTTTATAGTGTGTTATACAAATATGCTGGGTTGTATACTAAAGTTTATTGAACCTTTGAGTTCACCCTTTTATTATTAATATTAATGGTAGAATTCACAATGTTTGTTTGAAGTAGTCATATTAATGTAAATTCATCAACTTGCACATCAACAAGCCATATAGAAAGAATACGGTAAGCCATTGACTAGAGACCATCAACAATAAATTACTATGGTATAGAACAAATCAGTTTTCAGTTGAAGATGAAATTAAGAAACGATGATGGAGATAAATAGGATAATACACTACAGAAATGATCAAATTGCATCACGAGACAAGACCTAACTTGGAATTCTTACGACAAAAGAAAAAGAGATGAGCCAAAGGACATATTGGGTTGAGAATCGGAATACAACTTGAGAATGATTAGAAAGCAGAGAGCTGAATAGATTTGTGTTATGGATGCAGAGGAATATACTAATCATTATCATGTTAAGTCTAATGATGTCCTTGGACTCTAAATGGGCATTCCCTATTGGCCATTATTTATTCCACTCGTTAAATATTGTACAGATGTTGTGTTTCTATTTTTATGGTACGATGTGGTCTGTTTGGTTGGTATATAAACAGAGTATGTTTGGAATATAATGATTCATATCTCAGAGGCTGTGACTTGTGTTCTGGACTCAACTGGCTGGGCTAGACAGCGAAGCAGGGCCAATCGGGACTCTAGGTCGTCCTTACGTGTCACACTGGATCGATCGATAAATACGCTGCGCATCTAACCTGCAGTCCACACGTTACAACAATTAGATTGAAGATTCATGATTTGAGGCATATGCCCTACCAGGGGTAACACAGGATTAATTAAATAATATACGGTGAAAATCGACTTGTAAAATAATTACTCACTGTGACTTGTTGGATGAATCCAGAATTGGTGTCTTGTTGCTTTCGAGTTCTTTCAAAAATTGCAAACCTCTTTATTAAAAAAAAATAATTGAAAGTATGAAATAAGTACAGAGTCTAATTCAATAAATTTAGATTATTTAAAAAAAGTGACTTTTGCATTAACAGAAATTAGTGTTTTACATTTATGTTCAGATTTTCTTATTCACTACCGTCAACCTCCATCTTATATCTTAACATAATGTACGAGATGTAGATACACTTAGACTAGTGACCATATTGCAGCTTGACTGAACAAGATTCAATCGACACTAAGGACTAACAAAACATTATATTGATTACTACATGTTAAGCAATCAACACGAATATCTGTTTTGTAGGGGGTTAGTTATAGTTTGAATAGCTCTGTGGCGACATCTCTGGTCGTGAAGCTGGGGTCAACACGACGTCAAATCTGCTAGGGAGAATTACTGGTATACTATGTTGACAAATATCCAGTAGCACGAAACCTGGATCCAGGGTTCCAAGTCGACTATCTTCAACGACCATCTTACTAGTACTGATCTGTCATCAACACTAATCTTTCATCGACTAACATATATACAAATATAGGGATATGATTGAAGAATATGAATTCATTTGTGTTGGTTGCTTGAATCTTTCCGTTGATGTTTATGACAGCAATTGACCTCTTTCAGCAATATGTGCATTCTCAGAGGATTGCCTAGACTTAATATAATCATCGTATTCATGTGTGGGTCGGAATACTATTCGGTAGACCAAATTGAGGTACGTTGTTTTCACAGGGAAATAATCCCTCAATCTTCGAATCAGATGTCTAATCTGCAAGGTAAGGAAGCAATGTCAAAAGATATGATCCCATAGTAACCAGTGACTGGAATGGGTTAATACACCAGGCATTCCATCAAAATCTTGGAACCCATTCACACTATTAGTTTGCAGTTACAGTCTATCACCTCCTTTATAGGAAGAATCTGTATATCTACCAAAAAGATTAGTACCGAATATTCGGTTTTATAGAAACTCTCTTGAAATACATCAGAATTGTAACAGAGCCTAAAAACATGTAGTCATATATAAGTATTTTCAATGGGGAGAGTACACTCTCAATTGTATCAGGAGATTGAAGGACGAAGATTAACCGTAGACACATAATAACATAATGCCAGTTCATCAGGTCAATGACAAATAACCTGAGCTTGGTCGGCCAGTACAGATGTAGCTCGTAACTGCTCTATAAACGTTGGAATAAAACAAAGAAATCAGAATCATCCTAATTCTCCAAATAGTTAACATTTCTTGTTCATATGAATAGAAATATCAATCAAACTAACTTTTGATTCATTCGTTGTCTTAATTTTCTCGCTCGTTTTCTACGTAATTTTAAACGTTCCTGTTGTATATCATATTGAGAGTGTGGTAATTCATTTGGTGCATCAACAAGATGTGATAAATTGAATGCTTCCTAAGGGAAATTTAAAAGATAGAAAAAGTTATGAGTTAATTAAGTCAATAGCCTTTTTAGACAAGATCATTACAGAAATGACTAAAAGCATTTTCTAGTAATAGTAAAATTCATTTGAATGATGCTAACACTTGTAATGTTAATTGCTGGAAATTTCTTTTGATTTACCACCAAGTCATATATGTACAAATATATATAGAGGGGGCGGTGTGCTCCAATGGCTTTTGATCAAGAGGTCCAATCTAAAAAAATCTATGAGGAAATGAAGTCTCACGGTTGTCAGTCAGTCAGTTAGGTACAACGTAGGACCAGACACATATATGCATTGGTCCAAGTTGCCATACCTAATTAACACAACAAGATGGACACCGGATTCATAAAAGTAGTTAATTCACAGGTTGTTGCTACCCCCGACCTTTGTTGCTACCTTGACGTGGTGGTCGAGCTTGCCTATTGTGATGAAGCAACCGAGCTATATTGGCTGGAACAACCGTTCCTTTAGGTCCTACCATGTCAGACAGGTCGGTTGAAGAGCGGTAAGAATAAAAGCAACAAACTCAAGGTCCGAAGGCGAAGTCGCACTGATGACTGTACAGAGATGTGACAGCAGTAAGGTGTTTTCTTCAGACAACCAGCATGACAGCGATGCTGCCTTCCCACAAGGAGGGGTGGGATTAGAAAAGGTCGACCCTAAAAATGCACACTTCGCCTTATCCCATGGATATCCGTCTCCGGCGGTAAGGTCTCAATAAGCACGGAGCTAACACAAAAATTACCCATAAAAAGATCGTGCGTGACCGACCTCAAGCAGTTGTCCCTTGGGCACTGAGGTCACGTTCTTAGGTCACTAAGACCACCTCTAATTCGATTTCCTTTTCAGGTACCTCCAGAAGAACCCTTCCACGGTGTGGGCAACCGGGAAGTGATAATCGCCCTCATACCTCTGACAGCACTCAAGACCACTGTATTCAGTCTCATAGTAGCTAGTGACCAAAACAGGTTTATACTTCATTCGTTATGTCAGGATCGTACGGCCTATATTCTCCATTGACTGGGAATGGGAGTAAACGGATTCCTTTGGTGAGCTTCCAGTATCCAACAAGGTGATCTAAGTGTCAAACATCAAATTTTCATGGTTTTAATTGCGTATAAACACTTCAGTAGGAAGGAATTTTCTGATAGAGGTTAAAAGAAAGTGACCATATGAGAGTATTTCGAGAAGGAGAGTAAACTGTCACTTTCTTCGGCTGTATCCGAACCCTTTAGAGTATAGCACTATCATTGAATTATGGTTGCTGGAATATATTGCTTTAAAACAATAAGCTAATATTATATATACATGTATATAAGACTTACTAATTCAGATCTACCAACAGGACGATTTTGTGCAGCTTCCATAATTGCATTCTGATGACGTTTACCGTGTAAATGACTTTTCAATTGAACTTCAGACATAATCTATTATACAAGCAGAAAATAGTCATAATAAAGAAGTACTTTACTAATCGACAATACAAAAGTGAAACAATGAATTGAACGATTAAATTAAATGATATTCAATAATTGAGGTTTACAGGTTTGTAGCCCAGGGTTCTAACCTTAAGGCAAGAACAGCATACAGCTATGAAAGTGAAATAAGATATGATTGTTATGATCGCATCTCAGGAGTAATGATACACTGTTATAAACTAAATACACCTTTGAATCATTTTTTGTTTTTACAAAATAACACACAACAATGAATTACTTGAGATGGTAATTTTTAAAAAATGATCAAATCATTAAAGCTGAGATTTCAGGATGTTAGTCCGTTTATAACGACCGTTTTTGCTGTGCCTGGAAAGGCGCTGAATGATCTTGGGAATACTTACATGCCATTCTTAGGAGACAGTGATGGTCGAAAGCAGAAACCCCGGATACTTTCAGGTAGTAGTGTTGTGACGGCCTTCAAGAAAGCGCGATGAAGCCTCCAAAGGATCTAAATGAGCTCAAGAGATTCAATCCAGTTGCAACCTGACAGAACCCTCTAAAATATCAGAATGCCATACTATGATTGTACGATTGTATAACTTCCCTATTTGCGAATTAGCTGAATTATAATTATGTAATAGCCAATACTAATAACCATAAATACCCCTGTTTTTCTGTACATTATTGACACTTACTCAATAACCGCTTCTCCTGCTTTCTTGCGTCTTTCGATATGCAATTATGAATTTCTTTGCATTCGACTGCCGATAGACGTACACTGTATAAGCCATAATCAAGTGGAGGACTTAATATGTAGAAGTCGGGTTTCTCAACTGTTAGCCAAAGATGACTTAGGTGTATATAATCTGGTTTAGATCTCACTATCCATAGACTGATCTCATCAGGCACATAGTTATCATATCAGCATTCACAGTCATTGAGATATACAGACTTTTTAATTGTTTACAGTGGCTCATCCCAAATGATAATTATGGATCCTATTCTTTAACAAGTATGCAAAATCAGATGGTATGAAGATATTTATTTCTTTTGCTTGTTATTGGATGTTTAAAGTTGAACTGGTCAGTTTTTAAATATCCTATTTTATGGTAACGATTTCAATATTAAAAATGAAGTTACTTTCAGGTGTCTGGAAGTAGTTAGTGGGAAGCTCTGAACTTTAGTTCCGTGTTAGTTGAGATTTGTTAACAAGATATACCTGCAATCCTGTTCCTTTTGAGATTCGAACTCTCGTCACCAAGTTCCACAATCTGATATTGATAGGATTCGATAACAGCAAACAACTATATGAACATAATACCGCTCACTATTCCGCAATTGATCGATTAGTTGTAAATATGGTTAATGTTTAAACAAGTCAGTAACCCAGTGTATACTTTCCAAAAAAAATCACATTTTGAGTATTATATTGTAATGAAAATTAAAAATACAACCTGACTGTTTACATGGAATCATATAAGCAGAGAAGTCAGTCAGTTATAAGCAAAATCGAATCTGACAAACATGTATACAGATGCAAGTTGTAACATGATATTAGCATATCAAGATAAAATGGACATGACGAATACAAGAGTAGTAGAAGTATTCACAGTACCAGTGGTAGTAGAAAAGATTTATGAATAGACAATATGACATCAGAAGAAAGAATGAATTCATGGAGTAAAACCTGTAAGATAATTATAAAATTCAAGATCTAAAAGAATAGAAAGAATGAGTTCATCGGTTTCACTGAGATCAACACTGAAACATTTAATTCAATGTCTCTAACTATTGATTAAGACAATCTACAGGAACTTAAACTGGTAGTCGCCAACTGCCAGAACTGATCAGTCAATAACTTCATGAACTGATACCACGATCATGGTATGAAGGGATAGAGAGGATCAAACTTATGACTGAATGATTATAATGATATAACGAAGGGTTGCTTAGAAAAGAACAAAAGGTGTATCAAATCATTATTATCAGGGAAACTAACGACTGATTAAAAAAATTATTGAGGAACCTAGAAATAACAACAATAAAGAAAACTGTTCAACTGATTAATACACATATGATAGTATACATGGTGTCTGATAGCTAATTAAGAAGTAATGTCATCGCCCTCCAAATCAATTATAAAATCATCCCTTGTTATCCATGATCGATTCAGTGTGTATGAAATATCAACGTGCACAGAGTATTCAGAACAATCAATCTTGTTGTTAGGTTCAACAGTAACCAAATCACGATTTTTCAAACATATACACTACATTTGTATTTATTGACTTATTTACTAAGTGTGTAAACTTGTATACTTGGTTTCGAGACAATATTCTACGTAGGATATCCAATGATTTTTATCCGGTTGCCGAAATCGAACTAGGTGTAGAAGGGTTTGAACCTGCTACTTACTGATTGAAAGTCAGACATAATAACGAATAACCTACCGCTTCATCAAGGGACTAATCATGGCAAATTTAATAATACAAAATCAATGAGGAATATAACGTGATAAACTTACCATTACTTGACATGCTTTACACCATTTTTGTACTGGATAAGGTTCAATGCCAGGAACAGTCAGTGAATCATCACCAGTATGAGTTAGTATTGACATTTCAAAAGCTTTTCTACTTATTTCTCTAAGTGACTCTTGATGACGTCTTTCAGATTCTTCTTGCTATGTAAAGTAGACATGATGGTAGAGAAGATTTGTAGCTCAAGTGGATGATTTTGATGGAGTTTTGTTCTCTGAGATGGAGCCTTAAAAATCGTTCTTCTGAACAATATCATCAGTACACACTTCAGGAGAGAAGTGAAGTGTTCGAATTTCTCCACATATGGCTTACGATCAAACCATCCAGCTCAGAGAACAAAACTCCATATAGTGTTACATGTTTTAAATAGACCTAAGAATAGTTTCATAGATTGAAAGCTTTCCAATAAATGACTATTGTTTTTACATTACAAACTGACTTTGCCTAGACCATCACGTATAATTGTAGCATAGAACATCAACCAACTGACTGAGGATCAACGTTACAGTTGTCCAATAAACTTACTTCTTTCTTAATGATGCTCATAGTTAAAGTCAATTCATGATGTAAACTAAAACAAGCTGAATAGTAGGGGAGTCTAAAAAAATATAGTAATGATAATGAAAAAGACTAACTATTGAGAATATAGATTGTAAATATAGAATGACTGTGACTTATTATTTAGGGAAGGAAAAAAGAGTGAATGCACTTGTGCTATTGTGACTAATTCTGACTAATATCACCCAATATCTTCTTCTTCAATTAATGATTGCAGTTACCATATGGATTTCAACCAGATAAACTGTATTGACCAATATGGATGACTTCAAAATAACCGAAACTTGATAACCAAGATAAGTTTATATACTCAGTTTACAATAATGGTGTTTGTACTGAAATCGATTAGATTGCCTTCAAGCTTATCATGCAGTATTATTATTAGTATAATTTAAAATATAAAACAACACCTACGAGAATATTCCAATATCAATCGATTAAAGACATGTTTTCTCGGAGCTTCTCCCTTGAACTAAACGATATGATAATAAATAGTCTTGATATGATGCACACACAACACACACACAAAAATAATCGAAACAAGTTAAACAAATAACTTCGGTAGAAACCAAGTAAATCGAATTAATACTCTTTAAGTCAGATATAATCAACATGGAACAGGATAGAAATATGTGCCAGCCGAGGTTTCTATGTCATATACCATAGAAATGTGATAACATATGTAGCAATGTAAGTGAAATAACATTAGTATCATTAAAAGTGAAAACGCAATATCTGGGGGTAGGGTTAATAAAGAAAGGGTGGATTTTAACCACTAAAACTAATTCTGAACAACATTAACTAACATTTCCAATCACTGATTGTAGTTATTACGCTACATCTTAAACAGATAGACCGCGTCTATTGAAATGATTGAGTTTAACAGAAAATAATTTAATAGACTACTATCTCGGTCATCATTGAGGATCGAAACTAATGGTATACGTATATGTACAACAAATATTTAACCAACTTTAGTCGGTAAAGATTTGGTCACATCAACCAATGATCATCTAGTATCATTTTTTAGTATCCTACGTTTAATAACAATACGCGTATACAGCCACTGCCAAGGAAGGCTTAATCACTGTCTTCTCGCAGCAATACTGTTGTTTACGAAATTGAAAAAATGAAAAGCGAATGTCCGGCACTTTGACCGCGTTGGTGGATACGGAGGGTCCACCTAGGGGAATTGGAAAACACTCATTCCAACCCAATGGTGTACATGGGCTCCAGTATCCTGTAAGAACAAATGGCGTATGAACTAATTGTTGGTCACCGCCTACCATGGGACTACATTTGCTCAAGTTGCTCCACTGTCTTGTGGATTAGACCTTTAAGTCGAAGGCTTTGAGTGTGACCCCTTAAGAAAACCATATGCTTCGGTTTGGGCACCCGAGTAGTATCACAGCCCACACACAGATCAAGTGGCTTGTGTGGCGCATTTGTATTCGATTTCCCTTTGTACCAATATTTATGTGTTCAAATAAATAAATACCAATAGTTTATTTCTTTATATAAACACGCAAACATTGATACAAGGAGGCATAAAATGTATATGTGCCACACTTCGTCATTCAATTTGTGTGAGGACTGGGATACTGTCCGGGCATCCAAATCGAGGCCGGTGGTTCACTTTGGAGGCCACTTCTCAAGTCTTTCACCCAAAGGTCTAATCCACTAAACACTGGAGCAACGTTAGGAGATCCAGTCCTATGGTAGCCGGTGACAAACAATGAGTTCATACACCATTTGTTCCTTCAGGATCCTGAAGCCCATGTGAATCGTTGGTTTGGAACAGAAGTTCTTGCTCTATTAATCTAACACAGGCGAGCGATACTTTAAAGGCATACATGATTAAATGTTTTCGAATTTTGCATGTCATCCACTTTCAAAGTTATAGTGTAATACAAGATATTCCAAAAGGATTGGTAGGATTTATTACATAAGTAGACTCGAATTCATAAAATGTAAACAAATGAATTATGGGAAATTGTACAAAAATATATAACAGAAAATTTACTTTACGTTGAATCTTGCAACGTAACTGTTCAATATGTGTACGTTGTTGTTCTTCTAAGGTAGCCATTTTAATTTCACGTGATTGTTTTTTAGCACGAGCTGCAGCTCGACGTGAATGTTCCAATAATTTAGCACGTGATGCTAATTGTTGTGCACGAATTTTCCATCTAGCTTGTAATGCATCTAATCTAGCTAAACGTGATGCTTCTAAAGCTCTTCGACGAATCTATAGACCAAAAACAAAGAGGAAAACGAGGATGAAAAAAAGAGTGGAGAGAAAACACTGTTAGTGTTATATCACAGATCCAAATCCCGCAGTGAATATTATTTCTCCTGAAACTGTGAAGAGATTTTCTTATTGAATAAGAAATATGCAAAAGATAAAGCTGTGTTTGGTGAAAATGTTGATAGAATGCAAAGTGTATTGATCGTATTGAGGAACAATGGGTTTTAACAAACTTGCGTTACTTGTAGCATACGTGAGAACATACGTCTGCCAAGCAAAACAAACAAAACAAATATATTGCACAACAATTCGTTGTTATGAATCATGGTCTTTAAAAGCATAGAATATTCATAGGTCACTAGTATTTGATGGCTTAAGAGTATTGTTCGCGTATAGTTGAGACCGTCGAGTGAGTAATGCTGAGATTAAACGCAGGTTACCAAATAAGTCGGTTAGTGGGTTAGTGAATCTCAATGGATTGAGGTAGTTGAAACATGTGTTAAATGTGTCCAACCACCGTCGACTTCCACACGCATTTACATCTCATTGTGTTGAAATGTTGTAGTAACTTGAACTGATGTATATATGTGCTAGATTCTAAGTTGTTTATGAATGATTCTTTCGACATTACATGCATTGGTGACCTAACGGAAACAAAGGTTTCAGATTGAATTGCTTAAAATAAAATATATTTCGTAAGATAAGAATATTATGATGAACTCATGATTCTATTTGAAAATCATAAGTCTGTAAAGCAGTTAGAATTAACCGCCAAAAAGTGCAGAGTTAGAAGACACTAGGATCATTAACTTTCATGTATGAAGCAAAATTTTACTTACTGACTTACTTGCGCCTGTTACTCCTCGTGAAGGAGCATAGGCCGCTCACCAGCATTCTCCATCCAACCCTGTCCTGGGCAATCCTTTCCAGCTCCGTCCAGTTGTAATTCATCCTTTTCATATCTGCTTCTATTATCCGACGCAATGTGTTCTTTGGCCTTCCTCTTTTTCTCCTTCCTTCAGGATTCCAAGTTAGGGCTTGCCTCGTGATGCCGTTTGACGATTTGCGTAATGTATAACCTATCCATTTCCATCATCTTTTCCTAATTTCCTCTTCAACTGGAAGCTGGTTTGTTCTCTCCCACAGAAGGCTGTTGCTGATGGTATCCGGCCAATGGATGTTGAGTATCTTGCGAAGACAGCTATTTATAAATACTTGTACTTTCTTGATTGTGGTTGTTGTAGTTCTCCAAGTTTCAGCTCCATACAGTAGAACTGCCTTGACGTTCGTATTGAAGATCCTCACTTTGATATTGGTTGAAAGTTGTTTTGAGTTCCATATGTTCTTCAATTGTAGGAATGCAACCCTTGCTTTGCCGATCCTCGCCTTTACGTCTGCATCGGATCCTCCTTGTTCATCGATGATGTTTCACAGGTATGTGAAGGACTCTACATTTTCCAGAGTTTCGCCATCAAGTGTGATTGGATTGCTGTTTTCAGCTTTGAATTTGAGGGCCTTAGTTTTCCCTTTGTGTATGCTGAGGCCTACTGATGCAGAGACTGCTGCTACACTGGCTGTCTTCATTTGCATCTGTTCGTGTGTACGTGATAGGAGGGCTAGGTCATCTGCGAAGTCCAAATCGTTTAATTGATTCTGAGCTGTCCATTGTATTCCGTGTTTTCCTTCAAACGTTGAGGTTTTCATAGAAGCAAAATTTTAGGTAATTATTATTACAATTTCGCACAGGTTATATGCTCAATAGTAACTAGATTTGAGAAATTTCTGGAGTTTTAGTCAGGAGCTGTGACAAGTGGAGTTAAACCATATCGGATATGATAAAGATATCTGCCGAAAACAATGAAAGATGATTGTGCAACATCGCGAATTGATTGGAATTAGACTACTGGATCTCGGTTTAGTGGTATAGAGTTTAAAAGTTAGCGCGCGAGATAGAAGGTTCTGGATTGCATCTACAGTAAGATGGAGTCATAGATGCGCACACATGAGGAGCTTCATATTTGAACAAAACGGGCGTCCAACGTCTCCAGATTTTCGATGGTTGTGAGTTCAAATTTTTGAAAAACAAAAGAAATACAACTGGTCCACTTACTTTAGCTGCTTCTTCTCGGCATAATTTCTCTTCGGTACGTCGTTGACGTTCAATTGCCAGTTCATTTAATCTTGCGCGACTCTCTTCATGTTTCGTTAATATACTATGTTGTTTTTGTTCCGCTTCAAGTGTCTAAATCCAACATACATACATAGAGATACTACTTAATTTACACATAAGGTTATACATATTTAGAAATATGAACGTTTAATCAAAAATTGTAGTTTATATTATGATGTTTAGACAGAATTATTTAGTTATTATCAAAAGGGGCTTTTGTGGAGATTTTATTAATTTGATAGTTGAATTCATGAGTCGATTGAAGCTAAACAGCCACAGAAAATCTGGAAGCACTAGATGGCCGTTTCATCTGAGTATGGGACTCCTCATCGGTGTTACTGGAACAACAAACAAAAATAAAACGATCACTGGGGATTACTTCAGTTACTGATAAGCAACTATTTCTTGGAGGATAACCAATTTGGTTAAAACATTGTTTTAGACATTATAACATTAATTTTCTTGTTTATATATGTATACTACACATGGCCAATCATCGTCTACCTTAATGCATGATGTTTATTAGTGTAGAAGTATGTTTGAAGAAAATTTATTAGATGTTGGAGGTGAGGTGTGTTGGTAGGCTCAGATTGGAGTCTGTGTGACTATCGTAACCAATAGTTAAAGATGTTAGGTGACATGGTTCAGAATCGATTGAAATAGAGCAGATGAATTCACTCTTTGTCCTCCTTTCTTATATCATGAGTTTCAAAATTATCTTATGATTTTAATTACACTAGTTCATTCTTTCACTCTAAATTATATTGTCTACGCTTAGACTTTTATACTACCACTGATACTGTAACCACCTCTACTGCTCTGATATTTGTCTTGATAATTTCATATTGTTTTACTGTTGCAGTATGACAAAATGAACCGACGAGTATACTTTTCAGGTCCTGTGTTATCAATGACCAAATGATTGACTTATAAGCATATTCAAACACTTTCTATCATGGTATGATCAAAGTATATAAGTGGGTTAAAAGACAGATAATAGTGGCTAGACCATAAAATGGCAGTAGTTTATTGAGTATTTAGTCGGAAATTGCAGTCTACCCAGAGTTGGCATCTACAAGGCAACTGTACAACATATGGTCGGAGATATCAGACAACATAGTTCGGAACTGATTGTAATGGGCATAGATGTATTCATTCCACTACCATTCTTTATGTATTTTTTTTCAGAACGTAACAAAACTTTATCCAATCCTATGTTATTTTGATGTTAATTGACTGAAAATAGTCGAAAGGAAACCATAGAACTAGGTTACGCGCTGGATGGCATTCATCAGTAAGGCACACTTGAAATCTTTAGAGGACTGATATTCTTTATAGGATTCGAATCAACATCATTTAGCTTCTCAGCTTGAGATGTTACCACTAAACCATTAGGTGTGTGATGGACTGACGAATTGTTAACCGTACAGATCAACCGATAGGCACACAATCAAGATGCATAAATGTGTGTAAAGAAAAATCACAATATACCATGTTTTGCTGAGAATTTCTTATAGTACGTTATTCGAAGACTTACATGGTTATCATCAATGATAATTGTATATAGCTAATCATAGATTGTTAGGTAACAAGATAATGACGAAGTGAAATTTACTAGAAAAAATAGTATTCATCGTCTCTGAAATAAGTAGAATTAAAAATCAAATTAATCTAGGGTTAGATAATATACTACTTAAATAGATAAAAAGACAGGCTGGAAAAGAGAAAGATTTTTACTTGTATAAAGGCAATTTCTTTTCCTTTAGTCTCTTCATCATGTGCTTTAAGAACTCGACGTGTTAATTCAGCTTGACGTTTACGTTCAGCTGCATGTAAACGTCGTTCTAAGCATGAACGACGTTGATGTAATAAAATAAGTTTTTGTAAATGTACTTCATCAACCTAGAAGAAAACAGTAATATATGACATATACATACAAAAATAAACAAATTCAAAATTATACAATTTTACCATGTAGGAACTTTGTTGGGTTTAAACAGTTCATCATTTGTGTGTGGGCTGTGATACTACTCGGGTGCCCAAACCGAATCAGGTGGTTTTCTTAGGGGGTCATACCCAGAGCCTTCGACCTGAAGGTCTGATCCACAAGGCAGTGGAGCATCGTAAGGAGATGCAGTCCCATGGTAGCTGGTAACCAACAATTGGTTTATACGCCATTTGTTCCCGCAGGATACTGGAGCCCATGTGCACCATCGGTTCGGGATCCAGTTAAAGCACCGGAAATTCGCTTTTCGTCCTCTCATTTTCGTAAACAACACCCAAGCCACGAGAAGGCAGTGAGTAGAACTTTCCTGGCAGAGACTGTATACGCGTGGCCGTGTGAGAGCATTTCGAGAGGGAGGGTGGGCCCACCCCACTCTCGGCCATACCAGGGCATATAGGTTTAAACATTTGACTAGGTATGTTTAATAATCTTCAAGAATTCACATGTTAAGGGGGAGTTGAGTTGTAGCAATAAATAGTTCCCGAGAAAAGAAATCGTTGGATATCCTTATTTTTAATGAAGTTTACTAGCTAATGATATACATTGAATTATATGCGTTAATTTTGGTAACTCAATGTTGCTGTGAAGGATCCTTTTACTGTCTATATACCTTAAGGTTCTAGGTTTATCACCGGCTGAGCCAAGAACTCACAATTGTAGTGTCCCATGGATATAAATGGCAATCTATCTAAAATCAATTCTTGATGTTAAACATAAAATTTAAGAGTCTCTGTAAACCCCTCTGTACCAAAGAAGTCATGAGCTCACAAGCAAATAACTTGCAGAAGTAATTCAAGGAGTTCTAGTCAAAAGTTATAGAAAGTGAAGTCTAGGACGGTCGTTGTAATAGGTGATGATCGCGCGACATCATGAGTTAACTAAAGTCAGTAATGTAAACCATTCGATACTAACCAAGTAATCTGGAGGTTAATAGCTTACCAGATGTTGTGCTCAATCTGTGGAAAAATCATAGATTCATATTGTTGAAGAGTAGCATACTAGAACAAAGCTTCCCAGTTGTTTCTGGTTTTCAACCCGTGATGTAAGACTAAAAATTTAATAAACTATTAATTTTAAGTTGGATAATGGGTAACATTAGAACCTATGATATGTGTTTTGTCCTATGTAGAACTTATCAACGAAGTGTCCTAGTGTGAACATCGACACTGAAATTGTAGGAACATCCGGTAGTATTTCTCGACCTTAAGGCGGCATTCGACTCTGTTGATTGTGAGGTTCTATGGCAGTGTTTGTCACTGAAAGGAGTACCAAAGAAGTACATTAACCTTATAAAGGCTCTCTACTCGAACACAACTGGTAGAGTGAGAGCTTATGGCGAACTGTCATCAGAATTGATTACCTCAAGTGGTGTTCGTCAGGGCTGTCCACTCTCCCCATTCTTGTTCAACTTTGTGGTCGACGTACTTTTAGAGATAACACTCTTCTCATTCAAATTTCCAGGGGTTGAACTTCTACCAGGAGGTTCACTTATTGACTTAGAATATACTGATGACATAGTTCTGTTTGGTGAAGACGCTGACAAAATGCAGAGTCTTATGACCACTCTAAGCAACAATGCAAGCATGTTCGGAATGCGATTCTTCCCCTCGAAATGCAAAATGTTGTTTCAGGATTGGGTTACATCGACACCCGAACTAGTGATACGGAGTAAAGTAGTTGAGTGTGTCGATCGCTTCACTTATCTCAGTAGTCTCATCAGCCCTTGTGGTCTGGTTTGTGACGAAATCTCAGCACGGATACAGAAGGCTCGATTAGCTTTTGCCAACTTGCGTCATTTATGGCGTAGGCGAGATATCCATCTACCAACGAAAGGACGTATTTACTGCGCAACAGTTCGTTCTGTCCTACTTTATGGCAGTGAAACATGGCCGGTAAGAGTAGAGGATATTCGTAGGTTACTAGTATTCAATCATAGGTGTCTTCGAAGCATTGCTCATATATCCTGGGACCATCGAGTAAGTAACACAGTTGTTAGGGATCGGGTACTAGGTAAGGATGGCAAATCAATTGATGAAGTAGTGAAACTTGATCAGTTGAGGTGGCTGGGACACGTGTTACGTATGCCCAACGACCGACTTCCTCGACGTGCTATGTTCAGTGGTATAGGAGTAGGTTGGAAGAAAGCTGGGGGCGACCAGACCAAAACATGGCACAAACCCATGAAGTCACTGACAAGTGGACTGAGTCATGTTGGTAGGTGCAGACTACCTGGTTGGGGACGGCGAGATGATAGCAACTGATGGTTAGAGACCCTGAATGACATGGCTCAAAATCGTTTGCAATGGCGCAGGTGCATCCACTCTCTGTGTTCTCCCAAATTCTAATCTCCTGATTCCTCCTTGTCTTCTTTTTCTCTTCCAAAATAGATTTCACTGGATTATACTTTTTAAGTAACATACCTTAACCCTAATCTTCCCGATTACTGCTTATACTCTTACTACCTCTACCACTACGGGATTTGAATCGACAACTGAATCTCTGTGCTAATGTGGTGTGGCAACTCGAACTGATGTACGTACGTACGAAGTTCTGCGTTGTTACTGACTGAGGAACATTCAGAGGATGATTCTTAAATAGGACGAAATGCCCATTCTAGATTCCACTACTAGACACTATCTAACTTTGCTTGAAATGATTGTGACTTAATGACAATACAATCCATAACATTAACGGGAAAATTTAAACACAATCAAAATGAATGGATTAATAATTTTAAGATTATTTGTACGCTTTAAAGTATCATATACCATAGGTCAGTTATATCTTCACTAAAAATTCCAAACTCATGTAAGGTTTTCGTGAGTTTACTAAAAGTAACAATAAAATAGAACCATCATTATTATTATTAAGACCAAAGAATACATTAAGCCGAGAAATGGAGACAAACATGAGAAAAATGAGCTAACATTGAATAGAACTAGGAAGGAAAGTCCAGGAGACATTGGGTTGGAGAATGCTAGTCAGTGGCCTATGCTCCACCATTGGGAGTAACAGGCGTAAGTAAGTAAGTAATTATTATTGTTATTATTAACAATCATATTACCTTTTTGCTTAATTCATGTACACGTTCTGTTCGTTCCAAAAGATGTTGCTGACGTAATACTCTAGCACGAGCTTGTTTCTCTTCAATTTCTTGGATAGAATTAGCTGACCTATACAAGTTTATTTTTTTTCGAATAAAATCAGCATTTTAAAAAAGTTACAATTTTACCAAAATGAAAGAAAATCCCTTCATTTTCATTAAAAAGAAGAATCAATGAAAGCATAGTATAGTGTAGTACAGTACAGTAGAGTATAGTGTAGAGCGGAGGTAATTAAAGTAATATCTAAAATACTAGCCTCGATAATTATCAGACGCCTAACTAAGACTCGTGAACTGCAAACACGAAAGAACCAAGCTGGCTTTAGACCTGGTCGTGGCTGCATCGACCACATATTCACCATTCGTCAGGTTCTAGAACACAGGCATACCTATCGGCGTCCGACGATGGTGGTCTTTCTTGACTTAAAAGCAGCATTTGACTCGGTAGACCGCGAGACTCTGTGGCAGTGTCTGTCATTGAAAGGCGTACCTCAGAAGTACATAAACCTTGTGAAGGCTCTTTACTCGAACACTACTAGTCGAGTCAGAGCTTATGGCGAACTGTCATCTACTTTTGCAACCTCAAGTGGTGTCCGTCAAGGCTGTCCACTTTCCCATTTTTGTTTAACTTCATCATAGACCTATTGATGGAAATAACACTCTCGTCGACTGAATTCTCGGGTATTGATCTCCTTCCAGGAGGTCCACTTATCGACTTAGAATACGCAGATGATATAGTCCTGTTTGGTGAAGACGCTGACAAAATGCAGAGTCTTCTGGTAGCACTAAGCAACAATGCCAGGATGTTTGGAATGCGCTTCTCTCCCTCTAAATGCAAGTTGTTGCTTCAGGACTGGTCTCCGTCAACACCTGAACTAAGGATAGGGAGTGAAGTAGTTGAACGCGTTGACAACTTCAATTATCTTGGAAGTCTGATCAGCCCTAATGGGTTGGTGTCTGACGAAATCTCAGCACGGATTCGAAAAGCTCGTTTGGCTTTTGCCAACTTACGTCACCCTTGGCGAAGGCGAGATATCCGTCTATCAATAAAAGGACGAGTATACTGCGCGGCAGTTCGTTCTGTTTTAATTTACGGCAGCGAACATGCCTTAAGAGTAGAAGACACCCGTAAGTGCTAGTATTTGACCACAGATATCTTAGAAATATTGCTGGCATCTGCTGGGATCACCGGGTAAGTAATAGTGAGGTTAGACGCAGGGTATTAGGGAATGATGGTAAATCAGTTGATGAGGTTATGAATCTTCATCGACTGAGATGGTTGGGCCACGTATTACGTATGCCTGAACACCGATTACCACGACGTGCAATGCTAACCGGGGTAGGGGATGGTTGGAAGAAAGTTAGGGGCGGCCAAACCAAAACGTGGCATCAGTGCCTGAAGTCACTAACTTCTAGTCTGAGCCATGTTGGTAGATGCAGACTACTTGGTTGGGGTCCGCGTGACTATCGTAACCAATGGTTGGAGACTCTTGGTGACATGGCTCAGAATCGATCACAATGGCGTCGGTGTATACACTCCCTGTCTTCCCTTAAACTAAGAGACTAAAATCATTTCATATCTTTCTTTCTACGAACTAATTCTTTCTTCCTATACTATATCCTTATTGCAACCTTTGACCTAACCACTCCTATGAATCCGCTGTTCATCTTGCTGTGCTAATGAGGTATGGCAACCTGGACCGATGCACATATGTGCCTGGTCCTACGTTGTAGCTGACTGACTGACTGACTAAGTGTATAATTCTTTCTCTGTTACCCAACCCTACTCTTTTATTCGAACTTCAAAACCATAGTAATTCTAGAAAGGCTCTAAGCGAAGTTGTATATAGGACAAGCAAATCAACAGCATTATTGTGGTGTTTGAATGAACTAATGATTCCTTTGTACTTGTTGAATACTTGATTTCGAATTCCAAATACATTACATTCGTTCGTGCTTATCTAGTATTTCTTGATCCTATTACGTTATTTCTGAGATTCTTAGTTCGTACTATAATTCAAATACTCCTAATCATCATAATAATCCACAAATTTTAACCCTAAACCCTTATTATTGAAACGAACCATAAGCTATCGGCATTATAGTTTCTTTATTTATTTGAACACATAAATATTGGTACAAGGAGGCACCAAATATATATGCGCCACACAGATCTCATTTGATATGTGTAAGGGCTGTGATACTACCCGGGTGCTCAAACCGAATCAGGTGGTTTTCACAGGGGACCATACCCGGAGGCTTCGATCTAAAGGTATGATCCAGAAGGTAGTGCAACAACGTTAGGAGATGTATTCCCATGGTAGTCGGTGACCAACAATTGGTTCATACGCCATTTGTTCCTTCAGGATACTGGAGCCCATGTGCACTATTGGTTTGGAATGAGGGTATTCCAACTCCGCTAAGTGGACACTCCATGTCCACCAACCCGGTTAAAGCGCCAGACATTCGGTTTTCGTCCTCTCAATTTCGTAAACAACACCCCCGCCACGAGGAGGCAGTGAGTAGGACTTCCCTGGCAGAGGCTATATACGCGTGGCCATATGAGAGCATTTCGAGAGGGAGAGCGGACTCTCCCCACTCTCGGCCGTACCAGGGCAGTAATGAAGATATATTCACCAGATCTTGAGTTCCAGTATTCTTTCATACATACCTTTTAATCTGATCTTCTTGAACTATCATTGGTACCACAATTATTTCGACCTGTTTGTCATTTATCTTGTCATGATAAAGTGTTAGATAAAACTGAACTAATGTAAACTTGTTTCAACCTCTACGTTGATTATGACTGATTGATGAAATAACAGATTCAATCCCATAAATACATGAACGGAATTCATTAATTGATTATTCAAAGTATGCCAATATGATTACCCCTTTAAAAAAATACATTTATTTTTAACATATTAAAAGTTCTAAAGACTATGCTAACAAAAAACAATAAAAAGTAGTTACCGTTTTTTTGAACGAGCTGAAAGTTTTTCATGCATATGTACACCATGACCTGGTATACGTGATTTCACCTCTGTTTTAGGAAGAAACAATAATCCTTGTGGACAAATATTAACATCTGAAGTGATTAATGATAATAATGAACAAAGAATACCTTGAGTAGCTGCTGCTGAAGTGGATAAAGACAGCATAGTTTCATTTGAGTCAATATGTTTTGATGATTTCTCCAATATTACAGTATTTTTTGATAATGATGATGATAATGATAAATTCGATTGAATTTGACTCACTTGAACAGGGACCTCTGAAATATCATCATTGTGTTTTGTTTCTAATGGTCTTGATAATGAATCCACAAAGTTATCACAGTGTTTAAATGTACCATCTTCAGAAGTTGGTTGTTCTATAATATATTTTTTTTAAAGAAAATTCTAAGATATAAAGAATAAATGAATGTCCAATTTATACATAAAATCAAATTGAAGATCATTTTAGTTAGTTAGTCAGTCAGCTACAACGTAGGACCAGGAACATATATGCATTGGTCCAAGTTGCCACACTTGATTAGCACAACAAGATGAACATCGAATTCATAAAAGTAGTTACTTCTATGGTAGTAATATATAAAAGGAAGATTGTATATAAGGATATAGTACAGGAAGAAAGAACGAGTTGGTAGAAAGATATGAAGCGATTTTAATCTCAGTGTTTAAGGGAAGACAGTGAGTGTATACACCGACGCCATTGTGATCGATCCTGAACCATGTCACCCACAGTCTCCAACCATTGATTACGATAGTCACGCGGAACCCAACCAAGTAGTCTGCATCTACCAACATGGCTGAGATTAGAAGTTGGTGACTTCAAGCACTGATGCCACGTTTTGGTTTGGCCACCCCTAATTTTATTCCAACCATCACCTACACCGGTTAGCATTGCGCGTCGTGGTAATCGGTGTTCAGGCATATGTAACACGTGACCCAACCATCTCAGTCGATGGAGATTCACAACCTCATCAACTGATTTACCACTATTATTCCCTAATACGCTGTGTCTAACCTCACTATTACTTACCCGGTGATCCCAGCAGATGCGAGCAATATTTCTAAGATATCTGTGGTCAAATGCTAGTAGCTTACGAATATCTTCTACTCTTAATGGCCACATTCCGCAGCCGTGAAGTAAAACAAAACGAACTGCCGCAAAGTATACTCGTCACTTAATTGAAAGATAGGTATCTCGCCTCAGCCATAGGTGATGTAAGTTGACAAAAACCAAACGAGCTTTTCGAATCCGTGCTGAGGTTTCGTCAGACACCAGCATATTAGGGCTGATCAGACTTCTAAGATAATTGAAGTTGTCAATGCGTTCGACTACTTCACTCCCTATCATTAGTTCATGTTATAATTCTCTCTTACGGTTATAAACCAGTTATTCCTATTGCTTAGTATTCTTGGACACCAATTCACTCGACAAGTCCCCAAATCAGAACACGGTTGAACAGGAAAGAGGTTATATTCTAAATAACAAGGTTAGATGGAAGTAAGAATTACAATAGGAAAAACGTTAGCATATTTATAGTTTTTACATGAGAAGATTTCTAGAGTATTCTCCAAGTATCGACTAGCGCTGATTTGGTAAGAATTAGCCAATCAGCGTGCGCCGACGCAAGCGTGCATTAAGCATGATTTAATCCAATCTATGTCTCCCTAACAGTTCAAGTGTTGACGTAGACCAGTCCTGGAGTAACAACTTGCATTTAGAGGGAGAGAAGCGCATCCCAAACATTCTGGCATTTTATCAGCGTCTTCACCAAACAGGACTATGTCATCTGCGTATTCTAAGTCGATAAGTGGACATCCTGGTAGGAGATCAATGCCCAGAAATTCAGTCAACGAGAGCGTTATTTCCACCAGTAGGTCTATTATGAAGTTAAGCAAAAATTGAGAAAGTGGACAGCCTTGATGGACACCATCTGAGGTGACAGCTCACCGTAAGCTCTGACTCGACTAGTAGTGTTCGAGTAAAGAGCCTTCACAAGGTTTATGTACTTCTGAGGTACACCTTTCAATGACAGACACTGCCACAGAACCTCTCGGTTTACAGAGTCAAATGCTGCTTTTAATTCAAGAAAGGGACTTTTTAGTATAAACAAACAAACAACTCTAACACTCAAATTGTAAGTAAACTTGAAAAACTATTCTTATAAAAAAGTTAGCCAACTGAAGTATGGAAATGTTGAATATATTTAACAACTAGAAAGTTCATTACATTGAACCAATCATGTAAATCAATTGATACGTTTTGAATAAGTGATAAATAAATCATAACTCTGATTCTTTAGATAGTGAACAGAGATATAATTAACAGTTGAATTCACCAGTTAATATAAGCTGGACCACCACTGAAAAGCTGGAAGAACTGGACGACCGTTCCTTCCTAGTATGGAACTCCTCGATAGTGTGTATCTACCATCCCATACGTAGAACTGGAACCCAGAACCTTCGGTCTCACATGCTAACGCTTAACCTCTATACCACTGCGCCGGCACCCAACGATGTTAATGTCTAACGTCAATCGATTCATGATCTTTCACAACCCTTCATTCATTGTCTGAGGTGTATAACTGTCTCCACCCGACATCGATTGAACTCCACCGGTCGTCCAATGCCTCTAGGTTTCCAATGGTGGGCTAGATTAGATTGACTCATTAATTCGACGATCTCCACAAATCCCCATAGGGATATAATTCCCTATTCGCCTAGTAACCATGGGGAGACTATAAATTATGGACGAATCAATGAAATTAAGGATAGCAAATTTAGGATTTTGGCGCGAAATCCATTCATTCATACAGGCGAATAGCATTTCGACATTATAATCCTTACCTGAATTCCTACCCTTAAATTCTAACTCTAAATCCTAATTCTTAACATAAATTCATAACATTATTTTGACCCTAGTAAGTAGGTGAGTTGTATCACGGTCAGTAGCGTCGACCAAAGGTCATCTATAAATTATAGTCCCACAGTAACCAAAACGACCATAAAATGTAAATACATAATAGTCTGAAGACTTATTGAAAAGATCGAAAGACGACTGAACTAATGCAAAGACCCATTGTACTTAGATATATCAGGAACATTTTTGAAAATTACCATGATAAATTAGTAACCGATCATATGCAGAGGGGAAATGTCTTTAGACGTAGTAAAAATGAAAGATGCCTTGACAACAGATTAGCGAATGGAGCGGTATCTCAGTGAATAAGGTGGGTAGAAGATTCAAAACCTGAAACTTCTACTTTGGTTTAGATAACCAGGTGGTATAACTAGCTTTCACAATTTGACTGCGGTTGGAAATAATGTACACGAAGTTTTACCTGGTAAGTGGATTAAGATAAGCTTAGTGAATGTCACGTCGGGATATGAAGTGGTAGTTAATGTGTTCAATTTTCAGCGTGAAAATTAACACTATGATAAAGTTACGTTCAGCTAACGAGTCCCAAAATTGAACGAACCACACGTTTTAGAATCCACTGCTAGCCACAATTGGAAAATAATATCAGAGTATTGACCTAAATAAAAAGTTTAAACTTTTCATGTACATTAACAACAAGGAGCATGGTATGAATAAGTAATTGTTTCAAAAACGATCATTCTTCACATAAACAGGAGAGAAACAGATAGGAGATTGACAAGACAGAAAATAAAGGAGTCAAAATAGTGATTATCCCAACGGTGATAATAAGTTAATCACACAACACATATCTAGAAAAAAGAATACAACCTCACCGAAACCTAAAATGATACCGCTGAATAAGGAAAATATTCATTTCCTAGGAAGTGGATTGGGAAAGCAATGGCAACATCCTTACAATTGAAGGACATCTGGAACTCAAAACAACTGTTTGTCAGCCAACACCTAAGTCAGAACTTTCAATACAAACATCGAGACAGTTCCATTGTATGGAGATGAAACTTGAAGAACTGCAATCAGAATCAAAGATATACGGACATTTATAAACATTGGTCTACACAAGATACTTCAGATCCGTTGGCCAGACATGATCAGTAACAACCTATTATGGCACAGAACAAACCAGCTTCCAGTTGAAGAGGAAATCAAGAAACGACGCTGAAGGTGGATAAGACACACACAGTGTAAATCATCAAATTGCACCACGATGCAAGTCCTTACTTGGAATTTTTAAGGCAAAAGGAACGAGGTTAGAGACCCTGAATGACATGGCTCAAAATCGTTTGCAATGGCGCAGGTGCATCCACTCTCTGTGTTCTCCCAAATTCTAATCTTCTGAATTCTTCATGTCTCTTTTCCCTCCTTCCAAATTTATTTCACTGGATTATACTCTTTAAATAACATCTCCAAGCCCTAATCTTCCCGATTACTGCTTATACTCTTACTACCTCTACGATTACGGGATTTGAATCGACAACTGCATCTCTGTGCTAATGTGGTGTGGCAACTCGAACTGATGTACGTACGTACGAAGTTCTACGTTGTTACTGACTGACTGACATGGGGACAGTTGGAAATGAGGCCCCAGGACAAAGTAAGTTGAAGAATCCTAGTCAGCGGTCTATGCTCCACGAGGGAGTAACAAAAGTACGTAATTAACGTGACATATAGAATAAAGCCAGAGAGATCAAAAACCATTTTACATTGACACAATAAACGAAAAGTAAATGTGGAAAGGGCTATTGTGAATAAGTTAATGATATGTTTAGCCAAAATAACCGCCAACATTTTCCTTACCAGGTGGTCTACACATACCAACATGACTCAGTCTACTTGTCAGTGACTTCATGAACTTGTGCCATGTTTTGGTCTGGTCGCCCCTAACTTTCTTCCAACCTACTCCTATACCATAAAACATCGCACGTTGGGGCAGTCGGTCGTTGGGCATACGTAACACGTGTCCCAGCCATCTCAACTGATCAAGTTTCACTACTTCGTCAATTGATTCGCCATTTTTACCTATTACCCGTTTCCTAACAAATGTATTACTTACTCGATGGTCGTCTCAGGATATACGAGCAATGTTTCAAAGACACCTATGATCGAATACTAGTAACCTACGAATATCCTCTACTCTTACCAGTCATGTTTCACTGCCATAAAGAAGGACAGAACGAACTGTTGCGCAGTAAACACGTCCTTTAGTTGGTAGATGGATATCTCGCCTACGCCATAAATGACGCAAGTTGGCAAAAGCTAATCGAGCCTTCTGTATCCGTGCTGAGATTTCGTCACAAACCAGACCACAAGGGCTGATGAGACTACTGAGATAAGTGAAGCGATCGACACACTCAACTACTTTACTCCGTATCACTAGTTCGGGTGTCGATGTAACCCAATCCTGAAGCAACATTTTGCATTTCGAGGGGAAGAATCGCATCCCGAACATGCTTGCATTGTTGCTTATAGAGGTCAGAAGACTCTGCATTTTGTCAGTGTCTTCACCAAACAGAACTATGTCATCAGTATATTCGAAGTCAATAAGTGAATCTCCCGGTAGAAGTTCAACCCCTGGAAATTTAGATGAATAAAGTGTTATCTCTAAAAACACGTCTACGACATAGTTAAACAAGAATGGGGAGAGTGGACAGCCCTGATGAACACCACTTGAGGTAATCAATTCTCATTTAATAATAACACAATCAGTATAACAAAAGTGAAGAATAAGTAATATGTTCAGAATTTAAAGGAAGGTAAACAATGAATAGATCTGTACTAATATACAATTGATTTTAATTCATGTAACTTAAAATTTCCAACTACTGATTGCAAATATCTAAAGAGTTTTGACCACTAAGTTTGCATCTTTTAAAACATTCAATAAGCCTTACAAATAACAAATTGATAGTTAGGTTACAAGTCAAATTGTCAATGTTTAATATAAGTATTAGAGGATTTGTGTTTATTGTTGAATTTTATAATGGACATCACGGACTGATCTTGATCAGATAAGCAGTGGAAACTAGGAAGCATTGGACAGGTGTTTTATCCTACTGTGAGATTCCTCAATGGTAGTGTGTGCATGTATGACTCCACCAGAAGTCGAACCCAGGATCCTTGGACCATGGAGTCAGCATCTAATGGTTTCCATGTCTAGCTCATTGCAACGACTGAAAGTACTAGACTCCATCCGTAAATGCACAACACTGCTGAGTAGTACTATACTAGGACGAGACAGCTATTATCCAAAGCTTCCTCATTTCTCGTGGTTGTTTAACCGAGTGATGTAAACTATAAAACACTATATTACCTGATTGTTTTTGATCATAATATTGATCTAAATTTGTTTCCACTGAATATTTGGTTTGGCAATTATTTCCAGTTTTTTCTAATAATACTGAATCAGAAGAACGTTGTGGGTGAGTATTTTGAGCTCGTTCAAAATTCTTCGATGAACTATCGATCTCATAACATTGAAAGTTAGTTGAAGAAGACGACTGATTAAATGCATAATTATGTCCATGACAATGACAACTGCAACAATGGCAATGTTGTACGCTAGAATTATCTATGACTTTCCTATTTGATTCAATTCTATTCGAATTATCATTTAAACGATACTCCGAAAAGCAATGGATAGAATTCAACGGTGAATGAACCACCTTCATTCGTTGTTTGTTACTATTTTTTGTAATTTTTCTTGTGTCAGGAATTAATTTCTCACAGCTATCAATATCATCTAATATAATACTATCCATATCAAGTAAATCGACATCTGTGTCGATTTCCACTTCGTCAGTTGTCGTCGTCGTAGTAGTAGTAGTAGTCGTAGCAGTACCACAAACATCAATCTCTTCAGAATTTTGACAATTTGTATGCATAGGATTCTTTAATCGAGAATTATACCAAAATTTATTATAACCACTAGTTGAACGTATAAAAGCGGCTTTCTCTTCTTTAATTAAACGTCTACGTAAAGAAGCTTCAGCAAGTTGTGCTTTGTCTAACTGATGCGTTAATACAAGTTCAGCTGTGGTAACATTTTCAATAGCCTATTTTTGTGTTTTTTTAGATAAATAAAAAGAAAAATTAAATGAAATTATGTATATATCGAATGTTTATAGAAAGAGCACATCATAAACAATGTTTTATACAATTTGAAAAACAAGTTGATAAGTGCGACTAGTCAATCAGTCGAAGATAATGCAGGTGATCCCATGAAGGTGTTCCGTCCACAACAGACTAGATGAACTCGTAATCGCTTTAAACATAACAGAAGGTAGCCCATCTCACTTATATTAGCATAGTAAGATAGAATATTAACAAAGTGAAAGTCAGAGAAGAGTGAATAATCAAGTTCATAACGGTGAAATGTTTAACATGAGAAATAGAGTCCAAGAGAAATGTATATATATATATATATATATATATATAAGTGAGAAAAATGAAATGATGTTAAGCTGAAATTTTTTTCAAAGAGAAGTAAGAAATTAATCCAATTATGATACATCAATCGATTTTAAACGATGTCCCCAAACATCTGAAACCACCCAATACGATTATTGAGGAGGGGATATAACCAGGAAGTCAACATCTACCCTCCAAGTAGTTAATAACTTTATAGACTGATGTCATGTAAGATGGTCAGTTACCTGCCTCAACTGACAAGTCATCAACTTCTGAATACAAACAGTTTAAGAAATGTTTATTTATTTAAACAAATAAATATTGATAAAGTTAGGTACTAAAATAAATATGCACCACATAATAAGAAAATAAGATTATGAAGAGATAACGTAATAAAGAGAAGCATAATTAAATAGATAAATGAATAGAAATGAGTGAATGAAAATAGATTATAAAGAAGGACAATTAGCCCCCAAATGAACTGGTACGGCCGAGAGTGGAGAGAGTCAGTTTTCCCTCCCCAAATGCTCTCACATGGTCACATGCATACAACCACTGCCAGGGAAGCCCTACTCACCACCTCGTAGCTAGACAGTTGTTTACAAAATTGAGAGGTCAAAAGGCGGATGTCTGGCGCTTTAACCGGGTTGGTGGATATAGAGGGTCCACCTAAAGGAGTAGGAAAATCTCTGATTGCAAACCAATGGTGCACATAGGCTCCAGGATCGTGAAGGAACAAATGGTGTATGAACCCGTTGTTGGTCACCGGCAACAATGGGACTGCATCTACTGATGCCCGCTCCATTACCTTGTGGATTAGACCTTTGGGTCAACGGCTCTAGGTGTGGCCCCCTAAGAATACCACCTATTTAGGTTTGAGCGCTCGGGCAGTATTCTAGCCCTCACATAAATCGAATGACAAAGTGCGGCACATATATATTTGGTGCCTCCTTGTACCAATGTTTATATGTTTAAATAAATAAACGAAAGACTATAGCCAGGAAGAATTCTCTCCATAAAAGAAGCTCTTCTTACACATAACATAAATGTAAAACTAAACTATACCACTATCACCAACGATTTCTATTGTGAGCCATATCTGATGCTGTCTCAAGCTACTAGACTACATCACCACTCAGACGACAATTCGGAAATCATGGTGGGTCGACAGATGCCAGTTTTATGCAACGGTGTCATGTCATAAACTGAACACCTCTCAACTTTTTTCCAATCGGTCCCCGAGTTAGCAAATAATCACAAACTTAAAAGTCAACGGGATGACTTTCGTAAAAAATGAGCAAGCCACCGGAACCGGTGTTTCAAGATTTTAATATCAAACGGACTATCGTCACTGCTCCGGAACGTAAATTGCCGGACCTCAAAATTACTAATATGTTGTTGTCTATGAGTGGTAGCAACCCCTAGGAAAAAACGATGATTGAACACAGAATGACCGACTATCCTCAACTCTGAGAGTCCATATATCATAAGCATATAGTAAAAGTGTTCGCACTGACGTGTTGTAAACCCAACCCACTACAGCCAGACTAGCATCACAATGACACAAAGATGATGTAGATTATTATAAGCATCTCTGGCTTTCAACACACGTAGATTGATTTCATCTGATGTCAGTAGTAAACTGTAAAAATAAACATAAGATTTTACACAAACAAACTGAGCGAAATCAAATTTAGTCCAATTTACTTTGTGTGATGCAATATCTGTTAGCCATTTTGATTGAACGACTTGATAAATACAACAGCAACAAGTTGTATTGTGACGTAGGTGAGATATCTGTCTGCTAACTCAAGGGTGGGTATATTGCACATAAATCTGCTGCGTATTACTCTGACTATGAAAGATAGTCTATGAAAGTAGAAGACACTCTAAGGCCTCAGATTCCCACCATAGTATCGTCTAAGCATCGTCTGCTTACAGTGGAACGATCGAGTGAGCAACACTACGGTTGGAGGTCAGTTACCTGTGAGAGGTTGTAAACCAGTTGATGACGTTATGAATCTCCATCGATTAAGGTGGTTAGGACGGGTGTTGCGTATACCTAAACACCCCCAACCATGATAGGCGATATTCACTACTATAAGAGTAGGTTGGAAGAATGTTAGAGATGGTCAATTTAAAATATAGCATCAGTCTGTGGAGATATTGACAACTATAAATCTGGCTCATACTAACAGATCAAGACTACTTGGCTGAAGCCTGCATGATGACCACGATCAGTGGTTGGAATGGCTCACAACTAGTTACAGTGACCATGATGCATTTGTTTATTATCGTAAACTAGATATTGAGTCGTCGTATTTCTTCATAAACACCTCATTCGATCTTTTTATGTCAGATTCTCAATATCCAGTCTTTCTCATTACCACTGATACTACAACTGATTCAGCTACTTTACTATTCATCTTGAACACTACCCAACTAGAAAGCAATTGTTAAATAACAAACTGTGAGCTTTCTACGATAAGCAATACATATCCCAACTACTTCAGTCGATGGAGGTTACAGATTTACCCATTGCGTCTCACCTCAATGAGAACGACCAACAGTTTCGGATGTTCATCATGAAGAACATACATATAGGCTACACGAACCATATATATGATGTATAGGTTTAGTGCCAAACACTTTGGTTTTTATCTTGTCTATTCATTTTCATCTTATTTATTTATTAGTCATGTAGTGTCAGTTTTGCAAAAAATATGGACTGGTTACTAATGGTTTTAGATAATGAGTTAGATCTTACAATTAAACTATTACGGATCCTCTTAAATGTTCGAAAAAACTTCAATCGATGTAAAACAGCTTCAGAGGTAAGTGAATTCAGTGGTAGTCAGTTAACGGTTATCCAGAAGGAATTTAATTCGAGAAAGAAAGAAAAATTCACCAAGTTGTTCCCGGTAAAATATAAATAGCATTGGAGTAACCTCTAACGATTAAACTACTTTTTAAGATGTGTAACAGAAGAGGTGAATCGCAATATATCAGGTGAATATCTCATTGGTAAAAACCTTAAAACACTCGTCAAGACGCTTGAATACATGGTCAACCCAATAAATACGCAAACCGAGAGACATTAAAAACCTCGTAAAACATGGAAAAATGTCTCTCTAAATATATCAAATGTTGAGGGTTTTTTCTGGAAATATTTTGAACAAGTTCTTCTCGAGTGTATTAACCGTTTCTATTAGGACCGTGAAAACTGTAGGGTTGATATACGAAGCAAGAGTAAATGTCTGTCTTCTGTGCTGATGAAAACATTGAATACGTACTGTTTCTTGCGTGGTATTATTTTATTATTTATTTATTTAGACACATAAACATTGGTACAAGGAGGCACCAAGTAGATATGCGCCACATAAATCATTCGATTTGTGTAAGGGCTGTGATACTGCCCGGGTGCCCAAACCGAAGCGTGGTCTAGTCACTGATTCATTGTTGCATGACTACTCATGAACTGATGAATCGTATGCAAATATAGTTTTAACAAAACGCGAAACACAGCTCCTGAACAACCTGGCTTCTCAGGGATTCCTAAGAAGTTTAGGATAACGATGAGTATTGCAGGTAGGGATACGATAGATAAACGCCAACATTTTGTGAAAAGGAAAGTTTTCAAAACCTCTATTTGCATTTTTTAAAACCCAACTATACAGTAATGCAAAATGCAGGAATTCAGACTTACTTTATCTAATTTTGCCAAATCATGAGATAATGTATTATCCTCCCCCTCCTCCTCCTCTCGGTCAACGTAATCAGCATCATCATCAACCAAATATGTGAATTTAGACATTTGTTGTCTTTTGTGATGACGATGACGATGATGTTCTACGCTTTCGTCATCATCATAAATTTCAACTTCATCATCATCTTCGTCATTTGCATCAGATGGTTCGTTGTCAAGATTACACAAATTCGGTACCATCACTGAATTATTGGATGGTCGAGTACATGATTCATCATGATGATGATGTTTATTATCATTAATTGCTATATTTAATTTGAGTTTGTTCAATGAATGGTTCCGATTACCAGATTTAGCACAACCAATATCAGAATCACTATCTGCAACCTCTATGACACTACTATCCGATTTCATGCTTAATGGGGTGGAAAGATAAGATTGTTGCGCAGATGTAACAACACCTGTTGAAGCTAATACTTGACACATAATTGGTTTTCCTGGCAGAATAGTACGTTCATCCCATGCAAGAGAGTTTGGTCTAAATGCAGAATAAAACTGGAATGAAATAAACTGGGAGAGAAGCAGTTTACATAATAAAATAGTTTAAAAAAGATTCGATAAACAACATTTCCTACTATGTATGAAGCAATAGCTTAATGTTTAAAACACTAGGTTTTCAACTAATAGGTTTCATATTAAAACCCTGCTTCATATACTTTAGTTTTGGACAGTTAGCTGGATAGTATCAAACCATGTAACTCAGAGTTGAATATACGCTAAACCTGTGCTTGGTAAATGATTTACAAGTGTGCAGCAAAAACCGTTTACAGTGAATTTATTTCAATAATTCAATTTTGATGAGATGAACTGAATAGGATATTTGTAACGGTGTCATGTAGGAATTCAAAAGAATGAGATAATTGTAAAGAAATATATTACATACAACAGTTTCCGGTAGTAACTCACAGCATGTTCAAGGGAAGAAGGTCAGAAGAGGTTAAGCCTAAAATTGTCACATCTTTTCTCGTTTCACGGGTTTCCATGACCGATAGCATAGTCTAAAAACCAGAGTCAAATCATCACAAACTATTCACAAAGAAGTCAAAAGTGACCGGCCTCAAGCAAATGTCCCTTGGTTTCAATGGTCACGCTACAAGGTCGTCAAGATCAAAACTCAACCCAGTTTCCTTATTCAGATCTTGCAAGAACAAGGATCATTTCTCAATATGGACAACCAGGAAGTGATAACCACACTCATAACTCTATTAGCACTAAACATCACCAACATGCTCGAACACCACCAATAGTTGAATCATACCTACTAAAAGAATGAAGATACATTTGTCAAAAATTACTCTTCAGTCAGTGCATGCAGTCAGAAGACTTCTTAGTCGGAAAAGTGTTTCAACCGACTTTCTGCTAAATGAAAGAGTTCTAAATGTAATGTCGCAACGTTCTAACTGTAGTATCGATTGTAACAGGCATAGTCAAATCTAGTATTACACTTTCCACAAACATTTCTGTGGTTAAAAATACCATTAACGGGTAATTCTTAAAATAGAATAATACTTTGTCTGCTTTAAAATAACCTACACATGGTCAATTGAGAAATTAATGACCAGTTAAGCACTTACCTATTATGTGCATCAGCCTGTTCATAATCACGTAATAAGTTCATTTTTTCTATCAATGAAAAGAAGTCTTGCTTACTGTGTTCCAATATCATGATAACCTCCTAAATAAATTGATAATTGAGTAGTTTGTAATATGAATTGAAGTGAGAGAACTTATCTTTTTGATTGATAATACAAACATTATAAGGATAATAGGATGCAAAACATAGTGTTCCACTCGAAATGGAATGATATAATAAACTAATGGAGGGATCATATAATCAGTAAATACATGGATGAGGATAAAACTAGAACAAGACATCACAATTGAAAATACGAATGAGATAGATTTCATTTAGCTAGACAGGTTCGTCACGTGTTGAAGAACATAGTAGAGAACTACAGTGAAATCGCTAGTAACTTCTATGAAGGGCGTTGTCTGATAACGTTTCTCTGGAACAGCACGAAATGAGTTGTAAAAGGTCAACACGTGGTAGTTCTATACAGATTTCTCTCATAACACAGCAGTAAGACTACCTTGCCATCTTTTCCAATCAGTCCCAATGCTAGTAAATAGTATTCAGTGTGGATGCCACTCGGACGATGTTTGTAGAACACGTTCGAGCTACTGAATCTAATGTTTCAAGGTTGTAACACCAAATGATTTATCACTGCCGGGTCTAAACACACATTAGCGGAGTTTAAGATTACTAGTGGGGTGCTAACACATGATGAAAGCAATCCTTCGGAAGCAACCATGGCCGAACACATGAATTCGCCAAACATCTTCAGCTCAGAAGAAATAGGTTACAAGAGTAGTACTTCAAAGAAGTGTCATTACCAAAACCCGATTTTATACAGCCGAATTAGTATCACAACGACATCACAGATGGTCCAAATCGGTATAAACCACTATGGTTTTCGCGATATGTAGGTTGGTCTGGTCTGCCAAGCTACTACCGGGACTTATATGGCTGCCGAGATGCATAACCATTTTAGTTATTTTACAACGGCTCACCATAAAGTGTCAGTTTTGAAGAAAGGCTTTGCCTTGATTATATTACTGCTTAAAGTCACGGAAAATTCGTACGAAATATTACTGAGAATACTGAAATCATGTAGTTTAGAAGCTCACCTTACACTCCACTTCATTCTCATCTGTTTCACATGCTGAATATATTTCATCGATAGTTCGTCTTAAGGTATCCAACATTTGACCCCAATAACGTGCCTTATACTCGCTTTCAGTTAGAGGTCTTCCACGATTAATACGCCTATAGGGAACTGTTGATACTGAGTCAAAATGACGATGTAGTTGTGAGCAAACGGTTCTTGAATTTGTCGATATCAGACTACCGGAACGTGTATTGGAAGCAGTTCGTTCTTTGCAAAAGTTGTTTGTGCTCAAACTACTACTTTCATGTGAGTTATTACAACTATTAACTTCGGAATATAGAGAGTTCTTGATGGTACTGTCACCATTCGCAATTTTGATTTTGTTTTTTCCCGAGTTCGTTATATCTTGCTCAAGTGTCGAGGAAGGCAGAGTGAAGTCGCATTTTGCAACATAACGTCTGGCTGTAAATGAAGTAAATGACAAGTTTAAGAATTCTGTCATACATAAACTGGATGAATTTGCTAATGTGGATACAGAGACCAGCAAAATTTACTTAGACTTTCACTAACATTTTATTAACAGAAAAAAAATTATAAGGGATGAATAGAACTTTGAGTAACACCTCAATACCTATTAAGCAACTTTGATATTTTAATTCATTTATCCAACAGTTTAGTGTTCTAATCAAACATACATAACGAAATTACAGAAGAAATAACTGAAATTGCCTACCAAGTTACTTTTAATGTTAATATTGTGACAAATATTTTACTTTGAAACTTTTTATTCCCTCTTTATTGTTGGTGGTAGTGACCTTAAATTTATTCTTCCCCATTATATTCCAGTTGGTCTAACATTCATACTACAATGGAAGTGCATAGACTGTCATAAAATTAGTTTAAACAAGACCATTCAGTAATTAAGCCCTTAACTCTGACCTACATATCTTTGTGTTTAAGTGGCGATCCATGGTACTCTGAATGATAGAAGTAGGTGAAGAGTGTTCAAACTCATAATCCGAAGGTTAAAAGTTGATTACTTTGCCCATTAAACAACTGCTTTGACTACAATCAACCATAACTTTTTTCGATTTGAATATCTCTACGTCGAAAATCGGTGTATCAACTAGGTTACGAAAGAAAACTAGAATCTCTGTAAACATAAGCTAAAATGGCATTTTGAACATCCTAAAAGACGTCTGCATACAACTTACGAGAACTGGGATTATCGATGGGCACGCTATACTTGATTATATTTCGTGCTTGCACACCTTCATCTTCAATTTTATTCTTTATCCATGAGGAGACATTCCAACACTAGAAATAAATATTTACAAAGGTCTACAAATATTAGCACACTAACCTTTGTTTTCTGACTAACAGCACCGAGACATCGCCCTTCTGACATTGACTATATGTAGTCGGAAACTTTTCCCGAAGACGTTACGTAGAGGTTGTAAAATTAGAAACCAGCCAATTTTAGGGTTACACGGTTCTGACCTGAAATATATTTGATGAAAAGAAAACAAACAACAATTAAGATTATCGGCATAAGTAACTTGTAAAAATATAAAACATACAGCCGTAAAGACCAAATATATAGTTTTTGTTAGGTTCAAGGGAAATACGATGCCAATTTACAGGGCACTTATCCAGGTACCATAGCGTTTGGAACATTATGCCAAGCAATTTTTCATTTAAAGTCAGAAAGGTTTTTTAATGGACTATTTCCATTTTTTGGTTGTTCGGCCATTTTCCTGGATTATAGAACCTAACGACTAAAACTGAAAGTTCAAAGCTTCACTTAAGGTCAATCAGACTTCAATTACAACATTTGAGATATATTGTCAACTGCTTACTAAAACTGCGCAAGGAAAACAGAGTACCGACTGACTCATGATAAGGTTTTAGCTTTTAATTACCAACCAAATAATTGAATATTATTTTCAGAAAACGTACTCTGTATACCAATCTACCAACTTTAGGGAAATACTCTAAATGTATTTTTTAAACTTTGCGACAGGTCCTGAAAGAAAACTCGAAAAAAAGACAACCAATTACAAGTTCATTTACTTTCATGCAGCGTCTGACATATCCAAGCATTTTATTAATAAATAGCACTCAAAGTTTGGATCTAAGTAAATTTAGTGAAATACCAATGTGCCGACTAAAGGTGCCCGATTTCCCTATTTTTGGAAAATTTTACCCGTTTTAAGAAATTTTGGAGAAGATTCTATAGAAAATTTTGTGTAAATGGCACCAGAATTGGGAGACCATTTGAATTTGGAGACTTTTTTGTGGAAAAACCAGTCCTGAGAAAGCTTCTGATAAATTTATCTCTGAAGAAAGACTATAAGACAAAATATACGTGGAAAGGCTGGAACTAAATTCCCCCACAACAAGGAGATTGGGTTCACTACGGAAATTAACATCATGTGGAAATTGACAAAGTGAATTGTTATAAACCACTCTACAATATACCTGGATGTCAGTGTACGTTATTCAACTCCATTGGTCCGTTGACTATGTGATCTTGTTGTGAGCAACAACAAACCAAAAATACAAACTGAAGGAGACTTATAGTCAGCCGTAGCCAACGCAAACAAATCTCACTTCAAGGGCGCGACTACAAAGTCACACATGAAACTCTATACAATATCCAATATCTTCATGACTAGTTATTATAAACCTGCTGATTTTTTTACGATTCCTCTTTGACGTTACTGCATAGCTTTGTATCTTTGGTATCAACTAATAAGAGTAGTCAACAGACGCAATTCACCTATCGGGTTTTACATTTAATACCAAACATATTGGTCACGAACATGCATGAACTGGTTACTTGAACGCACAGATGACCCTGTGCGATACACTAAGTTTACATGGTTGCGTTGCGGATAAGATCACCCATGAACTGGTTGACTTATTTGAGCTCTCTTCGTGCAGGATCGGTATGGTTCCAAGTATTTGTTCATGTTCAATGTGCGGTAGTCTAACTATCCGACTTCACTAATTCTTGTCAGAGTTGTGGTTATTTGTGAATTTGAATATTGTTGTAATTGAGTGACAGATCAAATTATGCAAGGGTTAAGAACCAAACAAAATTGGAACTGATTATCCCATTCATGAACTGTCGGAAATAAGCATAAAACGTGAACGGAACATGGTCTACAAACTCTATAAACCCTGTGTGGGTTGGTTGCCTCTACTTCACATAATTCTCATTCAGATGAACAAGACAAGAATGTTGACGCGTTTCAAATCGAAAGCACTGACTATTTATATGTGAATGCTGCGGATTTGCCGAGTAACGTGGATTGATTGTGTGAACCATTGAACGCTAATATTGCACATCATACAGGAATATCTGAAACTTGGTTATCTCAAGTTACGGACCAGTTGCTGATAATACCCGCCATTCGTTCGTTCCACAACGACCAAAAGAAGGAACAGAGGTTGAGCAGCCCTGTACCGACGATCTTAGTTGATAGCACATCTAGTAAACACTCAAGAGTTTACCAATGTTAGTGAATCTGTATGTTGTTTAAAACCAAGATACGAAAGGTATCCGTAGTTTTACAACACTTTTACACGTAATGCCTTTATGATCGAATTATATAAACCCATTCAAATAGGAATTCAGAAGCGGAAAGCTGTTGATGTGTCGAGAAGCGTTTGGTCTAAGCTGGCTAACAGTTGCAAGCTATGCGTAGCACAGCGTACCCACTCGCGATCTGTTGCGGATACCTGACCGAGCACCCTCAGCCAGGTGTGTCTAGTTAAACTAATGTGATCAGCGCCAATGTTGAAGACCTGCAGATTTTGAAGACTTATTTACCGTTACTGCCTCAAGATGTCTGGTTGGAGTCATCTGTAGAAAGACTGTAGCTAACACCGAGTACGAAGGTCGTAAGCTGGAGGGATTATTCCGCTCTGTTCGTCTTAGATATACTCATATCTTGATACTGAGGACTTCAGTCTTCCTAATGTCAACTTCGAACAAATGTGGAATGCATGTGATGGTTCCACTGAAGTTAGGTTCTTCAACTTCAATAAAGAGTTGGGATTATTCGAAGTGAGTTTAGCAACTCGATGTGCAAATGCTCAGACGCTTTCATGCTTAGACTACGTCTTAGCCAACGAAGGATTCTTAATTGAGAACCTCTCATACCTGGTTCTCCTAGTGACGATAGTATGTACATACAGTTCAAACAGGCAAGGAACTTGTAATATTTTGTTCTAATTCGGGGTAAGGTGCCCTTTGCAACTAAAACCATAGACCTAATTTGGTAATCGCGAGTCAGCAATATGAAGTCTACTACTTTTGAGGATAGAATAATATATTTTATGTTAAATAGAATAAGTTACGCAAATGATCACATCTACATGGTCATGCCGTGTCATACCTGTTAAGAGTTTGTAGAATTATGGTCTACTATGATATTAGTACTGCTCTAATAATAGACCTAATCCCAAAATTGTAGATTCGTCATGATATAACTGCCTAATCTATAAGATCTTACGTGGAAGTCACACCATTGACTACACCAACTCACTGTATCGTATCAATTACCAATACCTGATGAGGAACAAGGTTAGGATAGAGAAAGAACAATATATTTAATATGAATGAGATATAGGATAACATCCAGCAGGGACCACGCCTGCATGGCCGAGCCATGCCACTCGATCAACCCCAGTCCATTCAATTCCTTGTTCGCGCCTTCTCCATTGTTAGGTATTTCTCCGCGTTAAATATTGAATATCTATTTTCTGAGTAGTCTCGTGTTCACAGCTTTGTGGATTGTGTGGCTATTGTCCAATGCCACTACAAGTTCCCAAATACACCATTTTTCTGACCTTATCTGTGGTGTGAAATGTTGAATGTGAAACTTATTTTCGGCTTCAAGGATCGTGTGGCTGAGATCCAATACTGCTACAAATCAATTGCAGAGGCAACACGAAGAGATAGATAGACAAATTTATCTCCAATCCGCAAAGTTTATTCCGTCGTGCAGACATTATTCGATAATCCGAATTCGGAGTTTCCCAGTTGTCAGGTTCTAATGGCCCAACGGACTAAGAGGATGACGTCACCGTGCTTCGGTCAGAACAGTACTATGAAACATTCCAACTGTTCCTTACTAACTATACTAACGAGAGCTACACCCGTAACTCAACAGGACTGACAGAAGTGAACCTGAGCTCCGACTTGGTGTATCAGAAACTGTAGTCTCTCGAGGTTGACACTTCTCCTGTCCTAAATATGGTCTATTCTGCCAAATTAAGCAAGGCGGCTTCAATCATTGGCCTGATTTGTCTTAGTTCACTGAGCTATTGAACGGCTCCAGAAAATTGAGAGTTGACGCACATAGCATCAATTTTAAAAGAAGGCCGTCGCAGTAAAGTTTTAAGCTACTGGCCGGTAGCTATGGATTGGCTTTAAAGCTTCTTCTTAAGGCTGTCCACTGATGAAACTTTTATCACGCATGCTGAAGGATCTCCTCAGACAGGACCAACCCAGTAATGAGAATAAGCGTGATCATCAAACCATTTGATTTTTAGTGGGTCATTCATCGTTACTTTGTGAAGTGTGATGTTGAGGTTCTGGTTGGACGTTTTATTTAAGCAAACGGAAGTGCTCATAGTGTTGTGCGTCATAGTCAAATTGATTCAAGTTACTTTGTAACCTAGTGGGCATATTCCTAGCTGGTTTTATGGGTCTTCTTGGGGTTTGTCCTCCAATCCTATGACCAACATTTTGGCATCCCTGTGAACCTGTTCCATAAGATTTCAATTTTTCTGTGAAGAGTGGGTACAAGAGTTTTGTAGATTTATAGTCGCAAATCGATATAGGTCTTGAGCAATTTCGAAAAGACCTGGTGCTTCTGAACTCTTAGCTACAGAGCGAGCAGCAGCGTAGACATTGGCTTCATCTATTTGACAGCTGCCGCTAATGTCTAAGCTTTTTGTGGCAATAAGCCTACATTGCGCCGGATTGATATGCTCCAGAGGCGATAACCTCAGATAAGGAGTTCGACATGATGCTTCCATATCGTTTGAATTATAATGGTTCGATAGTTTCAGAGATGTGGTGTTAGACTTTTTTGAGTGCCAATTTCTCCAGTATTGCTAAATCTACTTAGATTGTGTTTATAAGCCTTACATCTGACTGCTTTTCACAGTTTAAAATCTTCCACGTGGAGAGGAGCTAAAAAACCAAGGTTTGATGAGGAAAGTTTAGTGATAAACATTGGTGTCAGTAGATGTCCCTGTATGGGGCTTTGGTAAATATCAGATAATGACATACTCTTGTCTGATCTTACCCTGTAGAATTTGATGTAAGATGCTCAGCCCTAAAAGTGGTTTCTTGACGAACGAAAAGGTGGACCTGAGAACCTGATTTACTCTTTTTTCAGTGTGATAGATTTTAATACACTTTCAAACTCTTTGGATGAATCCGTGAGTAATGCATTCCCACAAACTTCTTGAACTCATTTCAGGTGTTCCAGGATGATCACCCGTTAAACATTCTAGCATTTCGAGAGTGATTTAAGCAGGCTTATAGGCTTGTATCAGTTTGTACTACTTTTTTTCTTTTCTAGAGATTTGAGACAAGTTCGCTGATTTCAACCCAATAAGTAGTTTCTTAGAATCTAAGGCATATTGTGACAGCTCACTTAGTGAATGAATAAAGACTTCGAGGCATCTTTTTAGGACCAACTATTCTGGCTAATTAGTTGATTTCTTTGTGCTTGTGTCTTGGAGCAATTAATAATTGTGGTTGTGTTCTAGTGGCATTATTCTAGACACAAGGCTGCAGTGGAAGTGATATGCAGCCTTGGGTTTAATAATTTTCTTTTCAATCCACCTTTGACATCGACTAGTCAGATCATTTGTGTTTCTAACATAGGATTAGTTTAGTTATCTACCGAAATTAGTTTTAATGGTTTCCATAATATCTAAGTTAATGAAGGCCAAGCCCCTGAATGTAGTGTCTTTATAATTTTGAAGATTTCTAGTTTCTTTCTAGACTCCATTTTAGACACAATTATCAAGAGACAAGTCCAGATATTTTCAGCAAAACCTGGACCATATGAAGAAGTTGCGAAGGAGTTTCTCAGAGCAGCCATAAACGTAGTTATGATTCAGTCTGTCACCTGACCATAATATGGTCATGACAGTCTCAAGGGTTACTCAGAACTTGACAACGCTCAAGTTGCAATGCATAGTACCTGTTAATTACATAAGTCTGAGAGGTAGTGCAACGGAGTCCAGGATCGATCTTGATCGGTTTAACCACTGTCTTGTATAACAGCTGATGCATGACCAACATTAGAGAGAGACAATGAAACGATAATGATACACACAATCCACGAATGCGTTCGCGTCAGTGTGAATAGATTTATGAATAACGTGCTAAACCACGGGATTTTTTGGGGAGACTATAGTTTATGGACGACCTATGAGCAACATTAAAAATACTGAGAATATTCACCTTTTTACTAGGGTTAAAGACTAGTGCATGGAGATAGCATTCGAATTTAGAGTTGGATGTTAAGGTTAGGACTCAGAGTTACTGTTTCATTGCGAACGGACATCAACTATAATTCCAAAACGCTATTTAGCCGTATGTATGAACGAATTTTGCGCCAAAATTTACTCGCCTCTACAGTGAGAAAAGCTAGATGGTGAGTAGAATATATCACACTTCGGGACATAGAATTGCACAGGAGCGATCGTGCAAGAGATCTCTTTTGTGCCACTCCAGAATACTAGGAAATACAGTATTCAGATTATATTGTTCTACTTCTAAACTAATTACCAGACTATTGTTTGTCGAGCTTAGTGTTCTGCGGAATATTGGGACGTTTTACTTGTAGGAAAGACAAAGATGGACTGCTCACTGAACAGCCTATGTCTAATTATCCATATCTGAATGCTCTTTCGTTATATAGGTATCTCAGTGATAGTGAGACTCATGACCTATAAACTTCAGACGTGGTTTTAAAAATTACTTTCATGGAACAATTTTTTTGCTCCTCACCAACATAGCCACAAACTTCATAAATATTAAATGTTTTTAGATCCCTTGTTTACAAGTGATATGAACCTGTAACGAATGGCCTAGTTAGATATCAGTAGAGAACATTCAGAGATTCTGTAGTACCTCACAATACTTGTATAAGAATTGTATTTTCGCAGTTGAATTCGCAAGTGGGTTTAAGATAAGCCACCACTGAATACCTTAAAGCACTGGACGAATGAACACTGATTCATTAATCTGTGATACGTTCAAAAAACTCAGTGTTACCTAAATGGCAGTTTCATTTATCGAAGCTACGTTACGACAGACAAACTTTGAGTATAGCGAAATAGGACCCCTCATAATGAAACATTAGAATAGCTTACAGGTAGAACAATAATATAATTGCAATATACACACGTCATTTGGTTTGCCTCTGGCGTAAATGGACGCATTAGCAATTTCGTAAGCTGTTTGAAAAAGATACCTTAAACCTCTGTAGCTAATTTCAAAGTTTTACACCTGTAAACCCCTAAATTCTTGGTAGTACCGGAGAGTGGTTCAGTGAAGCAGTTGGATCCAAATGTGCCCCAAAACAATTACGGACAATGATTTTCCCATAGAAGAACATCGCAGAAAATAGTCAGTGTGTGGTATCGGAATAAATATAATTACTGGTACAAGGTCATGAAGATTGCTGAGCTTCATTGAAGTGATGACCCGACCAATGTTTAACCAATACTGAAAACCTCCAAGCACTGGACAGTCATTTCATCCTGATGTGGGACTCCTAATCAGTGCGTATCCGAAACCTCGCAAGTGGGAGTCGAAAACAGAAACATTGATCTCACATGTGAACGGCCATCGGTGTTAATGTAATTATAAAATAGATAAAATATATCTGAAGGATATTTTCCTTCATCATGTATAGACATTAATTATACCAACACTTGATAAAACCCAGCTGCCATACCTTAAGCGAATAAAATCGGCAAAATTTTAACTGGTTACTAGCCACAATAGAGCGAATATTCTTATCGATCAAGGAACAACATTATAACAAAAGAAAAAGAATAGTGACACAACGGGACGAAAAGGTGAATTCACATTTTCAACTCATTGTGATTCCTGCTCAACATCCGTTTTTCAACTCAATATGACGAATATTCAGAGTAACATTTGTTTATCCAGTGTGATATTTTCTTCGGTATAACGTTAATTTGCTTAAGTGTACCAGTCTTGGTGTTCTTATTTCGCGTCGTGGGAATAAGCGACGCGGATTAAACAAGTGAGTAATAAACTATAAAATAAGAATTATACATGAAATGTAAGGATTATAAAACTAATTGCCGATTACCAACAACAAGTGCTCCTAACAAACAGAGAACACGTTTCAGTATCAGCGATACAGAATAAAATCAATCCGTTCACACAAGAGCAAGTAAAGGACAGTAATTTATTATGATGACGACCAAAAGGCAATACTAAGTAGGACAATATAGAAATAGTAAGCAAAATCCCTAACGACGTCAAAGAGCTGATCACACATATAACGAAAATAATAATTACAAACAAAGCAAGGATATACGAAATATACTCAAATACACAGAGAAACAGAGGTTACGGTGATTGATTGGAGTTGAACAATAACACCGTTGGATGCCTGTTCAGAGGTTTGTAGATTAAGCGTTCGCGCGGGACCGAAGGTCCTATGTTTGATTCCAGCGTGTGGGGTTATGGGAGTGCACTAATGATAAGTTGCCTGCTAGGACGAAGCACCCACCCAGTACTTGATGTTCAATGGTGGACTGACTTAGATCAGTTCATGATTTCAAAGAAGTAACGTCATGTGTTGGAGAGCGTAACGAAGAAATTCTACTGCAAGGAACTTATTTATTAGATTTGTAAATATATACACACTGAAAGGACCTTACAACATCGACTGGTGAGAGGTAAGTAAGCAAGTCGAAAATTAACTTGTAATAAGACTGTTCATCAGATAAACCTACTTCACTCATTAAAACACATAATCAACGGATTCTGACAACAACCAGCTTCAAGTACCGAACATTCGCTTTTCGTCCTTTCAGTTTCGTAAAAACACCTCCGTTGCAAAAAGACAGTGAGTAGAACTTCCCAGACAGTAGTTGCATGCACGTGGCCATGTGAGAGCATTTTGGGAGGGACAGCTGACTATCCCCACTCTTGGTCGTACCAAGGCATTTGGGGGCTCACTAATTCCTAGTGACGTTCTAAATTGCAAACATATTTAAAATTATCCGCTCACAAAACCCTACCCCCTATTTATTCACTCAAATTCGGGAAGCGAATATTCAAGATAGTCAAACGAATATCTGTGGATCCTACTATGAATGTATGAACTGAAACATGTAAGCAAACGTACTATATAACGATAACCAATTGAAAAGTCGATTTGTCAGTAGAAAATTCTGATGACCAACAATGGAAAGACAAACTTATACAAACAATATACAGTTGTCCAATGATACATTCATAACAAATGTACATTTCTTTGAAGATATTCATTTGAAATGGATTTTGTTTTACTATGCTCAAAAGTAGTTTAAAATTAAAGAAAGTGAAAGAATACAAAGGTTTATCAAAAAGAAGATATGTGAACTATGCCCAGATATTTAAAGATGATAGAGAACCTTATACAGAAGAGTAGAATAGTATTGTAAACATAGGAAATCAGATCAAAGAGTTTACAAACATCGCAATCTATGTTTTATAAACATATGAAAAATGAATGGTTTACCAAATTGAAAAGTGATTATGGCATATCATTTACAAGCTTACACATCATTGTCTGAAGAACTATCATCATGTGATATAGAATTTTCAGAGTCATTTGAAGATAATATACTTTGTTTTTCTGGTAGTAAACCTTCAAGATATTCCATACGTTCATTGGCATCAGTTAAACAGAGACGTCGTGATTTCACACCTTTAAGTTTTGTACTTGGTAATTTTCGTTGATTTTTTGGTAATCGAAGTTCTGCAGTTTCATTTTCAGCATGTTCAATAAATTTAGATGTATTCCAAAATTTGATTGAAGAACTAGCCGGAAATGTTGATGCAATAATATTCTCTGTTGGATGAATAGACAGTGTCATACAATCTGCTCCGCTAGTGTCATTATTCACTGTGTCTATATGATATCCAACACAACCAAGCAAACGATTTGGTAGGATATGCATAGCACTAAATTATAAAAGCAGAATTATGTGAAAATTATTTGAAAGCAACTGAGATACATGGAATACATTTCAAAACTTTGTTAATCAGTCAATTAGAAGGAACATAGAAACAGTCACATAAACATCGGTATAGGTTACATCACATCAGCACAGTTGATGAACACCAGGGTGACGAAAGTAATAATATCAGTGGTAATAGAAAGGGTCAGGTATAAACGATGTGATTCAAGAAGAGATAATAGATCCGTAGAATAAAAAGTGAATAACAATTTTGAAACAAAGCTAGAGGTAGATAGGGTTAATGGTCCTGAGCTTTCATCTAACGTCTTCTCCAACCAATAGTCACGATAATTGTGAACCTACTAACATGAATCAGATCAAGAGTCAATGACTTCATGATGTTATGCCTTGACTTAGCCATGTCCAGGTTTTTCGTTGAGACTATAATTTATGGACAACCTTTAAGAGACAATAAAATGACCTGGAGAACCCACCTACTTACTAGGGGTCAGAAGGGGGTTATAGATTAGTATAAGGAATTATAATTAAGATTGAAAGCTAATGCCGAAATGCTATATAACCATAAGTATAAATGAATATCGCACTAAAATTCAGGGACTTATCACTTTTAATTTCATTGATTTGTCCAGCCCAATAATTGAGGATCAATAATCTCATTAAACGATTTGCTATCTATGACTGGTACTCTGATTCTAATCCAAATATTACTTACCAAGTGGCTTCAACACACGTGATCAATCCACTGAAGAAACCTATTCTCGAATACGAATAACTTATGAATATTGTCTGTAGGAAGCGTAGATGTTTGCTTTTTTCCAAAAACATGTTGTCAATATGTATTTATGAGTAATAACTAATTGTCTTTTTATGAATTTGACGACTATGAGTATGAAGTTTCTCTTTTATCTCTTGGGGTTAAACACTGAACTGGTTGAAAGAGAAGGAAAAAAACGATACTAGATGGTTGAGGCTAATCCTTTGGGGTTTAATTTGAAATACGCTTTTTACCAACAATTTGTTCAGCCATGTTTCACTGAAGACAGGTACACATTCATACACAAATACACACAAACAAAATCTCACCTTACAACTCCATCATCAGTGGCTACTGCAACAATATCTTCTGTAATTTTGACTATTTTCTCCACAGAATTTCCACCAGAAACAGCTGTTCTAGCCTGACCTTGTTTAGATGGTCGAAGAGGATGTATAGGGAAACGATCGCATATATTTCCGAATTCATTCCAACTGAACACAGAAATCACACCTTCATCGGTGCCGACAAGAACTTTTGTATTATTCTAGAGGTATAAAAAGGTGAACATTCCAAATTTAAAAACTGGCAAATATAATGAACATTGTATGATTGTGGATCAGTTATACGTAGCGTAGAATATGACAAAACACTGGAAATCCACTTGTTCACGATTAAATCCCTTTAACACTTCTGGATATTTCTTTTATCGCCAATACCACCCCATCTCCTACGACTGTATCCCCATGCATCAATAATGGTTGTGAGTCGTTGAAGCGCACTACTGGAGAGCTTCATACTAGGATGGAACCCCAACTGAAATCAAGAAGTGACGAATAGAACCTACAAAATAGACTGTTATATCTTGTAACTTGGGTATATGAGGGCCCAACATTATTTCGCAAGGGAGGATGGACTCGGAAAATTTAAAACCCGGATATTTAATGGTAACTTTTGGGATCCATTATGGACCAATACTATACGTATATTTTTATTGTATAGTTGTCATGTGTCCCACTTATTATGAGCTTTGCTTTGACCCATGATTTATTTATTTTAACACATAGATATTGGTACAAGGAGGCACCAAATACATATGCGCCACACAGATTTCATTTGATATGTGTGAGGGCTGCGATACTGCCCGGGTGCCCAGACCGAAGCTATTATTATACCATTTACCATTCTTGAATTATGCCCAGCCTATTAATTACTACCCCCCCTCATTCACAGCCACATCTGGATAATTCTTGTACAAATGTTGTTTCCTCTTTTATTGGTGTGATATGGTCTGTTTGATTGGTATATAAACTCAGTATGTTTGAAATATGATGATTCATATCACAGAGGCTGAGATTGGTGTTCTGGACTTAACTTGCTGGGCTAGGCAGGAAGCAGAACCAATAAGGACTCTAGACTGCTCGTACGGGTTTACGCGTCATTGGTCCGATCGATAAGTCACTGCTCCGTAATTGGTGATCACAAGATATGACATAGACCGATCTCAAAAAACTCTTCAACTAAAACCACAATGGTTAGCTCATTGGTGACTTGTTTTAAAATGTTTCTGAATTTTAAGTAAGATGTCATGATCAGTGTCTAGAAATATCTGTAGTGAAACAGTCATCAATAATTGGTACTAAATGATAGTTGTGCTATGTTGGAAATTGGTATGAGGTTGAAATTGTTCCACAGGGCCCAGAAGCCTAAGTGGTTCTAATGGTTAAATATTCATTGTTAGACCTGAAGATGCCGAGTTCGATACCTGATGGAAATGTGGATGTGTACTGCCGAAGAGTCTCGTGATAAGAGAGAACAGCTATTCATTGCTCTCGCGTTTTCAATGTCACCCCAACTGAGACATATCGGTAAAGAATGAAGCCTATAAACTTAAATACATACCCACAAAACTCCCTTCAAAACGACTATTCTATCATTTCTTAAATAGTGTGTGCTGTAAAACTAAGTAAATAACAGCGTGTAATTGGTTCGAAGATCTTAATCTGACGGATCAAATTAAATATAAAATCTTGAAACTAAAAGGCGATGAACAAATGTGTGGTATGTAATCAAAGGTTGAATGAAAAGTGAATTAAGAATGCAAACTGAATAATGAGCAATCTCTACAAACCTTCCAAACCAACCATGAGATCGTGTAGGCGCTGGTGACTGAAACCAAGAGGAAATTCTCGGGGCTACAGTAAGGATCCACGACCAATAATTTTCAACTGTGTCGTGAGTGGGGGTGAGACACGAACTATTAACGGCAAAGGATTATGGTTGGATAATATCGAAAAATAACTAAGGTTAATAATGCAAACGTTTGGATAGCTACTCAGTGGACAAGGTTAGGCGCTAGCCGCGAGGCTTGTAGGTCTAGAAATTTGATTTCTAGTGGAGTCAGTAATGAGCGCTTCTAAGGAGTCACATACTAGAACAAAAAAGCTACCCGGTACTCTATGATTCTACAATGGTGGGTGAATCAACTCCTACACAAAAGAAAGCAGTTATGACGTTGGATCGATCGTATAGTATGGTAAAAACAAATTTTGAAAAACGGAACGCAATTGCAAAGAGAATGAAAACGACAGAAAATTTGTTTGTCATACTGTTGAATTTGTAGCTCAAAATGTTTTAGGTGGGTCACATGGAAATTTCACCTGCTATGAAGAATGCAAGTCATAGAAAAGTAGTTACTGATAAGCACTAAGTAGTGTATTGTAACATGCATAAAAAAAGACGAGGTAATAGAGGGATGATAATAGGAAACAATGAATGAATTTAACAGACAATACTGAATTCCTACTTTGTCTTTATTTCTCAAAATTAAAAAGGAATCTGTTAAAAACATTAATAAATGGGGAAAACACCATAATACAACTTCATAAATTTTGACATAGTTTCTTAGTATGAGAATAGAAAGGTGTGCTAGCAGTGAAGCGACGTGAGACGTCAATAATTATCAATTCCTGTAGACAACCATTGAAAAACGGGAAACACTTCAAAACTCCAGATTTATGAAATTTCAAGAATATTAGAGAATTTCTAGGAGTACGGGATTTAGACCGATTAGCGACCAAAAAACATGCCAAATAAATACAGTTTATCAACGTGTATGAAAGATGTCAATCAGTCAAAAGGTCAGAGGTCGATCTAATGACCATGTGCACTATTGGTTTGGAATCAGGGTTTTCCAACTTCTCTAGATAGATCCTCCATATCCATCAACCGAGTTAAAGCCCCCACCGTCCCCTCGATTTCTTAAACAACACTCGCGCCACGAGAAGGTCGGCCTTCCCTAGCAATGGCTGTATACGCGTGGCCATGTGAGAGCATTTGGAGAGGAAGAGCTGACTCTCCCCATCCTCGGTCGTACAAGGGAATTTGAAAGCCCTGATGGGACAAAAGGCGTATGAACCCATCGTTGATCACCGGCTACCATGGGACTGCATCTCCTAAAGTTGCGCCACTGCCTTGTGGATTAGATCTTTAGGTCAAAGGCACAGGGTGTGGCCCCCTAAGAAAACCACCCGTCTTGGTTTGAGCACCCAGGCAGTATTCTAGCCCTCAAATAAGTCGAATGACGAAGTGTGGCGCATATATATTTAGTGCCTTCTTGTACCAATGTTTATGTATTTAAATAAATAAATGAACGGTTTAATTACTGAGGTCACCACATCATATTTCATACAAGAATAATTTTACAAATATTCTGTAATAATTACTTACTTTAACAACAGTTAAGGTACGTGCACTAAATCCAAGTGTTTCTGAAGACATTTCAAAACGTCGACGTCGTATATTATACACTGCTAAAGTTCCATCATCAACTGCGGCTAACAAAGTTCCATGAGAATCATTCGATGACACAGCCATTTCATTGATAGAATTGAAAAAATCATCAAATTTATTTTCAATATCTGGAGTCATGACTGAAACTGGACCTGACTTCCTTGCATCCCACATCTAATGATAGACAAACAATACATGCACACATATACATACAAACACATAGTATCGCAAAACCATACATTATCAGTGCTACAACCTATTTCATTTGAAAATAGATAGATGCCCTGGTACGGCCGAGGGTGAAGAGAGTTAGCGCTCCCTCTCAAAATGCTCTCACATGCCCACACGTGTACAGTCATTACCAGAGAAGTCCTACTCACTGCCCTCTCGTGGCGCGGGTGTTGTATACGAAATTGAGAGGACGGAAAGTGAATATCCGGCGCTTTAACCAGGTTGATAGACACGGAGGATTCATCTAGGGAAGTTGGAAAACCCTGATTTCAAACCAATGGTGCAAACTATATCCTTATTGCAATCTTTCTTTTATATATTACCACCTCTGAATTAACTACTTTTATGAATCCGGTGTCCATCTTGTTGTGTTAATGAGGTGTGGCAACTTGGACCGATGCATAAATGTACCTGGTCCTACGTTGTAGCTGACTGACTGACTGGGATCCAGGATCCTGAGGGGACAAATGGCGTATAAACCAATCGCTGTTAACCAGCTACCATGGAACTGCATCTTCTGACCCTGCTCCACTGCCTTGTGGATCATACCTTTAGGCCAAAGGCTTGGGGTGTGACCCCCTAAGAAAACCACCTGATTCGGTTTAGGCGCCCGGGCAGTATCCCAGTGGTAACACAAATCAAGTGACTTGAGTGTCGTATATGTCTGAACTATGTGATATATTAGCGCAATACATTTCGAACAATCTGGTCACACATATACTTGTTAAGAGCATTTATATATAAAAATAAAAGGTCAACTAGACAGGAAACGGGATAAGAGGAGATAAGGATAATGATAAGAGTAATAATAATAATAATGTGAACACAAAGCGAAACCTAATCACTCTGGATAATAAGTCAATATTACCAGGGTAGGTTTAAGGTAAGAACAAACTGTTTTTGAACACATAAAGGGGGTTTGAATTTTCGTATGGCTAAGGCTTCAATAAACCTTAGTATATGCCCTTTTACACTTTTATACAGCACTACAAAAGCTTAATTTAGATCAATCTTGTGACCTGTTTCAATTATATGTTTAGCAATAGAGGATGATGGATGTTTATCCTCTGCTCTTATTGGGTCACTTGATTGTATTTGTTTCTGAAGCCATTTGGGTACATGTTCACTCACCCTAATGTTGAGATCACGATTACTCCTCCCTATGTATGTGTGACCACACACACATTTAAATTGGTAAACACAGTGGGATGTGACGCAATTGTCTCCATGTACTTTAGGTTTTGAATGAAGCATGCACCTTGTTCTTTCTTTGATGATGACCTTTGCTGCGCAATAGGTTTTATTGATGACTGATTTAAGTCGTTGTTTCAATAAAAGGCTATTTGAATCACCTCTGAATGGTAAGGTGATGTAGACAGGCTTTTTCTCTACCGAGGCTACAGTAGGTCTCGCTGAACCATGGACTTTCCATCTATTTATGAATTTCAGAGGATAGCCATTTTCTATTAACGTTTTATTTAACAACTTAACATCATCATCAATGGCGTCATTGGTACAAATACGGTCGAGTCTGTTGAAAAGACACCTTATCAAACCACGTTTGTATTGCACAGGGCAATAACTATAATAACTAAGATATTGACCTGTCCACGTTGGTTTTCTAAAAATAGATCGCTTGACTGAACTATCTTCTCGTCTACTCAGGAGTATATCTAGGAAGGGAAGCTGATCGTTTTTCTTCTCTTCACATGAGAGACTAATATGGTTTTGGAGAGTGTTGAGTTTATTTAATAAACCGTACATATTCTCTTTTCTCTCACAAACAACTAAGATATCGTCCACATATCTCTTATAAAGTGACATGTTTCCGATTAATTCATCAGTCTGATTTCGTCAGATTGATGGAGTTGCTATGGGTAGTCCGCTAGGACCATTACTAGCAGATGTGTTCATGGCACATGTTGAAAATCAGACTGATGAATTAATCGGAAACATGTCACTTTATAAGAGATATGTGGACGATATCTTAGTTGTTTGTGAGAGAAAAGAGAATATGTACGGTTTATTAAATAAACTCAACACTCTCCAAAACCATATTAGTCTCTCATGTGAAGAGAAGAAAAACGATCAGCTTCCCTTCCTAGATATACTCCTGAGTAGACGAGAAGATAGTTCAGTCAAGCGATCTATTTTTAGAAAACCAACGTGGACAGGTCAATATCTTAGTTATTATAGTTATTGCCCTGTGCAATACAAACGTGGTTTGATAAGGTGTCTTTTCAACAGACTCGACCGTATTTGTACCAATGACGCCATTTATGATGATGTTAAGTTGTTAAATAAAACGTTAATAGAAAATGGCTATCCTCTGAAATTCATAAATAGATGGAAAGTCCATGGTTCAGCGAGACCTACTGTAGCCTCGGTAGAGAAAAAGCCTGTCTACATCACCTTACCATTCAGAGGTGATTCAAATAGCCTTTTATTGAAACAACGACTTAAATCAGTCATCAATAAAACCTATTGCGCAGCAAAGGTCATTATCAAAGAAAGAACAAGGTGCATGCTTCATTCAAAACCTAAAGTACATGGAGACAATTGCGTCACATCCCACTGTGTTTACCAATTTAAATGTGTGTGTGGTCACACATACATAGGGAGGAGTAATCGTGATCTCAACATTAGGGTGAGTGAACATGTACCCAAATGGCTTCAGAAACAAATACAATCAAGTGACCCAATAAGAGCAGAGGATAAACATCCATCATCCTCTATTGCTAAACATATAATTGAAACAGGTCACAAGATTGATCTAAATTCAGCTTTTGTAGTGCTGTATAAAAGTGTAAAAGGGCGTATACTAAGGTTTATTGAAGCCTTAGCCATACGAAAATTCAAACCCCCTTTATGTGTTCAAAAACAGTTTGTTCTTACCTTAAACCTACCCTGGTAATATTGACTTATTATCCAGAGTGATTAGGTTTCGCTTTGTGTTCACATTATTATTATTATTACTCTTATCATTATCCTTATCTCCTCTTACCCCGTTTCCTGTCTAGTTGACCTTTTATTTTTATATATAAATGCTCTTAACAAGTATATGTGTGACCAGATTGTTCGAAATGTATTGCGCTAATATATCACATAGTTCTGATAATCTTCGTCTTCTATTATCATTATCGAAATTTATCAAAGGCACTAATTGTTTTAAATGTCGTATGTGTATTGGGTGCCCCTTTGTAACAATATTTATGTGTTCAAATAAATAAATGTTTTATAACTGAAGCGATCAGGTTACGACACATAGCTTAGTATACTAAGTGTTGAGTAACACTTGTTGTTTGAAGGTTATATACACAATCCGAACTGGTTAAGCAACCGAAATTCTCGACTACTTTAGCTATAGGTGTTAGACAGTTGGATGGAATTAACAAGAGTCATTAAACATGTATATTGTGTTGATTTATACTTCTTAGCAAAATGTATTTGGAATATATACATACTGAGTGACACTGGTTTGAATCCCACGAAGGTTGATTTCCTACAAAACTGAATACGCACCTAGCTGATGAGTGTTAATCAGTACGAAATACATATTAAGGCTTTTTGATATTGTTCTCAATCACCTAATACCAACGTAGAGTGCAATATTAAGTCAACTGGGTTAGTGGATACACTGAAACGTGACTGGTAGAATTCGATGAGAAATAAGGGTGACTCTATAACATAGTGTAACTCATTTATTATTCATACATTTGACTTTGAACCGCATCTTAATTCCCACACATCAATACTATTAACATGGTGTTGCCACGTTAGTCTCCAAACATCTTCAGTTCAGATGGGCCAGTTTTAATAAGAGTAAAGTAGAAACACGCTCGCCAACGCGTTGTATCCTCAATCTTAAGTAACCAGACGAACAATACGACGCTGTTTCACCCTGTACATGAACCTGTAAGTGATTATTGAGTAGCATTATGACAATAATTATTTTTGCCAAATTCTAACCGGCTGTATAAATTATGTTGAGTAAAACTTGATCACAGCAATCAAACAAAACCCAATCTATCAAGTTATGTGAGTAAAGTACACAAAAGACAACGAATTACTTTGATAATTCCATTTTCATCACCTGTAACCCACTGTCCGTGTTCTAGAACTAAAACACTAGATATTGGTGATTTTTCATGAGCTTGAAAAAATGCCCAAGTTTGTTTTTCAGAAATCACATCGTGTACTTTTAAGCCACTTTGACTGGAAGCCGAAATTAATAAATTTTGAGTTTTAGGGAAAAAAGACAAGCATCGGATAGTTTTATGCCAACGTTTCTGAAGTAACGCCTTTGTTCGATCCACGTAATCAAATCTAAAATACTGTCAAGTATTACAATAAGAATCAACTTACATACGAATTCTTCCATTACATGTCCCGACTGCAAGTAGAATCTTATCACCAACAGTCGCGAAGTCAGTACAACTGATGCCATCCAGACCGATCTTGAGATCTAGTTGATTAGAAGGATCCATCATAAATTATAATCAAGATGATTGACACCAGGAACAATAATATTCTTACAGCTTATAGTCGAGATATAAAAAAATTGACTGCCGCTGTAGTCAGTGGTAAATTAAGGAGCTTTAATGAATTAAATCAACAGCATGTAACTAAGCGATGTTTATTATTTCATAGACGTAGCTTGTATTTGCTCTACTCAGGAATATAGTTATTTCATAACATGCACTATCTGGACGTATATCCAACCAACGAAGATCCAACAATCTAAAAGACAGAATAACAGGATCGAATGCACAATCATGACAGTAATAAGCGAAGCAACCACGTCACACTACACATACTTATTAAAGAGGTAATAGATTTTGAATCTGTCATTTTAAGATGATACAAGCAAACACAAATAGTGGCTAAGATAAAACTGAATAGACTGCCTTTGATAGCACCTCGTAGTTTAACTGAAGAAATCATTATCGTTCAATTGGACTCTTGTGGATAAACAAACTCTTAGCACTCTCGATACACTGCAATCAGTCGAACTCTTTATTACTTACGGCTTATGCAATTTTACCTAACTCAACGATCACACTAAGCTTTATCTTTTCAAAAGCTACAAAGTTAATTTGCTGGGTTTTCTTTAAACTGCTTACTGGTCCTTTGACTGAGCAAAGTATAATTTTACTGTACTAGACGCATAGAATTATGTTTTCAGTATTGTGTGAAAAAATCAGTTAATTAGGTATTTCTTTACGTTCGAATGACGCTGCAATTCCAAGAAACATTACTAAATTTTCGTATTGTTTAGACTTTGGTTTAATTAGTTATCTATAAACAACGACGAAACTGAAGTATTGGTCCAAGTTGTCACATTCCATATCATCGAAACGAGAAATCAAAAGGACGAATATCTGAACAATAAAAACAAAAGCCTTAACCAGAGAAAAACAAGACTAGGCGAAAATGTGAACGGGAAAAAAGAATAATATAGTGAAATATAGGTAATTTTTGAAATTTAAATGAAGGTTGAGTGTGAATATGTGTCACCGACATGGATTTTGAGACATGGCTTCGCAGGCTTCTAAGCATTAATTGTGATACTGTCTAGTGTTTATTTCAGGTAAAAAAACTCATCCATCTTTTTGTTTTTGGATTTTTAAAAGTGGAAAACTAAGTACATTAATCGTACGAAATAGTTATTTGACAAGCTGGATTGTTTGGTTGAGTTAAAAAAATAGGTAATTAGTGAAAATACCATCGAAACTGTTAATACAAACCTGTTTGTGGAAAATCTAGGTGCCGAAAAGTTAAGGGAATGCTTTTTATCGAGGATATCAGTCACAAGTACCTGAGATTTATTATGTTCAACTAGCCAGTCAGTCAGCTACAACGAAGGACCAGGCACATATATACAGTGGTTCAAGTTTCCATTACCTCATTAGCACAAGATGAACACTAAATCCATAGAAGCAGTTACTTCAATGGTAGTAATATATATAAATATTATTTTTGTTTATTTGAACACATAAATATTGCTACAAAGGAGCACCAAATACATATACGACACACAAGCAACTTGATTTGTGTGTGGGCTGTGATACTCCCCGGGTGCCCAAAACCGATGCAGTTAATTTTCTTGAAGCCACTCCTCAGTCCTTTTACTAAGAAGTCTAATCCACAAGGAAGTAAGCAACGTTAGGTGGTGAGGTCTCATGGTATTTGGTCACCAACAATAAGTTCATGCACCATTTATTCTTCTAGAGTCCTGGAGCTCATATCAGAGTTTTCCAACAACCCCTAGGTAGACTCTCCGTATCCACCAACCCTGTTAAAGCGCCGGATATTCGCTTCCCGTCCTCACAATTTCGTAGACAACACCATCACTTCAAGAGGGCAGTGAGTAGAACTTCCATTGGAGTGGCTATATACGTGTGTCCATGTGAAAGCATTTGGAGAGGGAGAGCCGACTCTATCCACCCTCGGCCGTACCAGGTCATTTGAAGTTTATATATGATACAGGGAGAAAGAATTAGTTCGAAAGTCCAACTAACTACAGAGTAGCTTTTCCAGGATATTAGAGTTTCGATAAAGATACACTTTTCGAAATCTGTTCTATTCTTATTTGCACGGGGAAAAATTGAAGCCCTTGTCTTAACTATGAATTAGACGTACTAAGGAAGATTCAGAGAAGTAGTAGCTAAAATCTTTAATATGCTTTTTGATCCAGCTTGCAAACGGTTGTTCTGCTTCATACTTCCTTCAACTTTTGGAAGGTTAATATATACTGTTTTGTAAGCGTCTTGCATACTTAAAGATTTTGAAATTGATGTCTTTGGTTTTTACACTAAGTACTAATCATCTGAGGAGATAATTTCTGCAAAATCCAAACCTGAAAGTTGAACCACTAAGGCCTGGTTGTGTTTTGCAAGGAGTTGCACACCAATCGAATTATTTACCAGGACATAGCCTTGTTGTGTAGCAACAAAAAGATAATACAGCAGTTAGTTAAACACGTTTGTCAGAATATAACATAGAAAAAACTGACAGCCGAAAGTATGAACTAGTTTTATGGAATTATGAAACGGGAAGATTGATTTTTAATGAAATTCCTTTTTCTCGTAACGGTTAGTCCGTTTCGACCATATGAGTAGACAAGAAACAGTAGACTTGTTTAGCAAGTATTTCAGGATTGTCCATATTCAGTAACACTGAGACTTCCAAGTGTTCGTCAGTAGGTTACAAACTAATACAGTTTAAGGGTGATGTAAATTACAAATCTAGTCGAGTACGTAAGCATAATTGTGAATTAAAATCACGAATTAAGATATGTTTATTCAAAAACCTTACTAAGTGCATTGATTGTCCACCAGATTTCGATTATTATTACTAGGTAGTCCACCAGTTTATCTAGACAAGCATTTTCTTAATCAATTTACTTTTCACACAGAAATTCGTTTACAATTTATTGACAAGTTTAGAGTGACAATTATCTGACAAGACCGCAGATCTCATCGAAAAACAGTTAAGAGCAATTTTAATAAGCGTGGAAACACACATGACAACTAAGAACTATACTAAACATACAAAAAGGCAGTTGAATGCTGCATTTTTCGTGTTAGTAATAGTTAATAATCGACACTTTACTAGGTGCACCATGGTGACACTAATAAAACCTCACTTTACATCTAATGCAACGTGTTCGTGCCAATAAATCTGTAAAAGCTCCTGGACATGAAATAGGGAAGAATTTAATTTGTGGCTATGGGCAACACTAAATGTCAACAACACGCCGCATCGCCAATTTTAAATGAACACCTATAAATTTCAAGGTCTCATGAAATCAAGTTATTACTGTGATAAATTTACGAAAATTTCAAATACATTTTCTTGTTTTCGAAGCAGTCCCAGGCACTTCAAAATACGTCTTATGTTCATGAAGGTTTATCTCAAGTCAACTTTGTTTTTTTTGCTTAGACGAATTGGTGAACTGTGTATTACTTGATGCCTGGATCGTGTTGATCGGAGTTTTCCTTGATTATGGGAAATTATAGCAACTAACACACTCACACTCGGTTCTCAGACTGCTTCCTTAGCTGAAATTCACCATGATTTCCCATAAGTAGGTTGGATATAGACCGAAAACCCTAAAATATGGATTAATTGCACAAAAATAGTGAGTTCATAGTTAAGGATATACTTGTCCACGCACCGCTAGGAAATAGCGACCGTGATACGGTTATGTTTAAAATGGTCAAAAACGAAGTGCTTTGAAGGGATGAGTAAGCCTTCTACCTTAGCTACACAAGAGCAGACTACACGATGATGAGGGAGTGTCTTCAATGCACCCCATGGCCACGAGACTGGTAGAGGCTAACAACGAGTGACCACCGAGAGATAGTAAAAGATCTAGTTCAGAATGCGATCCTACACAACATACCTTAAGCAAAATTACAACCCAGTAAAATATCCCGGGCTACAAGAAGCACAGAGCACTTGTAAGAAGCAAAATAAAGAGCCTTTATTTATTTATTTTATTTGGACACATAAATATTGGTACAAGAGTGCGCCAAGTATATATGTGCCACAGAAAACAATGGGAATTTAAAGAGGAGGGACAAGTGGAAATTTTCCCCTAATTGATTCTGATTGTAGCACTCAAATGACATTAAAAAATAGATGTCACATGTAAGTCCGACAATATAAGAAGCGTTTTCAGGTCGACGTAGCAACCAAAATACGAACTAACCCTATATATTTTTGCAGGTTTATGACTGAAGGAAAACCTACAGTTCAGGGCATCTGTGCGCTTAAAATGCTTGATGGTGAGGACTCTACTAACCAAAAGATGCCAGAGAACTGTAAAGCAAACTTCATCAAACAGTTAAATCAAGACTCCGCAAGCGCGGAACACTTCTCAGTTCTAATGACGTAGGTATGGTATGTGCTTTGCGCTTTCGAAGTGCAAAGTACTTCTACAAGACTGCCAGGATTCTAAACCTGGCCTCTCCGAGTTGAGGACGTTAGAAGACTTTCTGTGTTTGATCATCGTTGTCTCCGAAGGATTGCTGACATCCAGTGGCAACACCATGTTAGTAATGCAGATGTTCGACATCGTGTGTTCGGGCGCAGAGATGATAATGCAATCGATGTCACCATCTTGAAACATCGACTTCGGTGAGTTGGACTTGTTCTACGAATGTCGTCCCGGAGAATTCCACGTCGTGCATTATTTGCCGACGCTGAGACTGGCTGGAAAAAGCGGAGAGGTGGTCAGTGCATGATATGGTGTCGTGGTATGAAAGAAAGCTGCGAAGGGCTAGCTTCTGTTGGTTCTTCTCGACTCCCTGGTTGGGGTTCGAGAGATGGTGCAACACAGTGGCTAGAGACGTTATCAGATATGTCTCAGAATAGGAACCAGTGGCGATCCTGTTGTAACCTTCTTTCACTTTCTTCATAAAAAGTGGTTGCTTCCTCCTTAACTGAAAGATTTCTTCTGGTTGTACCTTTTCGTTTCCTCCATTATTATTATTACACTACCTTGCACTAATCTTTACGTTATTGTTTTCTTACGCTCCTTACTTTTTTTCTTCTCTCCAAATTCCCACTGTATTTGGTGCCCTCTTGTACCAATATGTATGTGTGAAATAAATAAATGGGTAAATGCCAGTTGAGGTTCTGTGAAATTTTCAACCATCTTGCGGATTAGTATTGGTGAAACTAAAATCCCAACATCCAGAAAAGTCACCAGAATCTGACGACGTCTGCCCCACATTCCTGAAACACTGCCTGGAAGCCACCAGCGCACTGATATGTGACATTTTCAGGCGCTTATTAAAGTCACATTAACTATTTGGAGGATTGGAATAAGCTACCTTCTCTCCGATCTTCATAAAGAAGATAGAGAAGACCCAGTATGATTTTTATCAGCAGTATTACTTCTGGTACTGTTGAAGTTAATGTAAGGACTGACCAATGAATTAATGGTAGAGTACATGGATAAAAATAATGTCATCCGTAATGTCCAACATGAGTTCAGTAAAGACAGGTCGTACCCGTCTAGTCTCTCCATAACATGGGAGAGCTGGACAACCTGCTTGGACGAAAATATGCTGGTTCATGAATTATTTCTCAACGTCTCAAACGTTTTTGACGCAGTTACGCATTTAGTGCTCAGAAAATGTTTTAACGATCAGTTCTACTAGCCTTTTTCTATCTTGGCTCCGAAACTACCTACAGAACTAGATGTTCCGTACCAAAATTAATATAGTGCACACAAGTTGGATGGTTTCAACAAACAATGATCTTAGGTCCACTCCTCTTCCTGACGTTTACCAAATGACCTGTTACAATAAGCTGATCGTCACTAATTTATGCAGACGATGCAAAGATTTTGAAGTTCATAACAAAGCGGAAAGGATTCACTTGAGCTTCGAAAGTACCTTACAACAGTGGGAAAAATGGCCAGAGGACACTGAGTCCAAACGTAACCTTTCAAGATGTCATGTCATGAAAATTCTGCCTCATCCAACACAAAGAACTTGTGTCGTTCACCGAAATCTGCTCTCGACTGTCTCGTCAGTTTGAGTAGTATGTCTAGTGACCACGTAGAGCGTAGACACCAGCTCAAACCACATTGAGTATACAGACAAGACTCCCCACTTTGTGTGAGGACAAATTGGCGTAACCACCTCGAAGTTGTTCTTGAAATTGTTTAAAACGTACGCACGGCTCTACAGTTCCCACAGTATTGTTGCACGTCCTATTTCCAAAATAGATATAAATATCTTAGACCATGTACAGGGACAAGCAAGCAAGGATAAAACATACATCTTACGAAGACGGATTTCAACGTCTAGGATTATTCTTGTTGAGCTACAGGGGAATAAAACGTGATTTGTCAGTGGCACATAAAATATTAAGTATGCTGAGTCGCCTCAACACGAGCATGTTGACAGGCCACCACCACCGCAGCGCCCCTCGAGGCAATCCTCAAAAACTGTACACCAAAGAGCAAACATCCATTAGTGGATAGCTTTAGGGGGAGACTTGACAAACACGTAAGCACTCAAGGATTACTGTCTTTCTCTTGAAATATCTGTTTCTGATGTACTTTTCATATATGACCACTGTTATCATTATCACATAGCAGAAATTACGTCCTATCTCCCTCATTTTCATCTCCGTTTTTTCTCTTACTCTTTAAATCCCGTCATCTTATTCGTTACCAACAATTTAACCTGTTTAATTATCCTTGAAACAAGTATCTTCTCTAAGCACTTACATTTTCACGTGGTTGTTGTCGCATTATAACTAACCAAACTCCTGCCTTGTAATGTGATAGCTGCTAGTATCCAGAAACTCTATTTCCTTGAAACAAACGCACTCACCCGAGTTGTAAGATAGACAATATCACAAAGAACTAACACATTAGCCAGAATTGGTGAAGTCGACTGGCTAAACTACCAACCACTGAGGATTACCAAGCAGTTGAAACAGGATCGAAACAACAAGAAGCGAGAGCAAAGAAATCAGTCGGTTTATACAGTCTCTGAAAAAGATATTTGAGAATGGACATCGATGTACTGTCTGAAATCACTGTGTAAGGCGATTAAAAACTCCGAAGCTATCTAATGATGGAATCCAGAGTCCTTCTTATATCTTGAAAAAACAAACTATTTAAAGAAGTACGGGCTACAATTTATCTACGAGTCACAACTATCGGAAAAAATGCCACGAATACCATTCACACTGAATCATAAGGTAGCCCGTGGACCTATCCTGCTTAAGAAAACTGTGTGTGTTGTGAGGGAGTTGCACATATGAATCACATCACCACCACATAGAACATCAAATCTTTCATTGAACAGTGGATGAAACTTATCAAGAGAAGGTTTACTGTCTTGAAATCTGCCAATCTAAGTTCCACAGAAAACCATTACACTTGGACTGTTATTTTGTAATAACTCTTTGATTTTTATAATTTTCAAACACAGCCCACCTACATTACTGTGGGGTCAGTAGGTGAAGAATGAACAATCCCTGATCATGAAGGGTACAGGATGAGTTGTTCTAATGGAGGTGCCACTAACCAGCCAGCAAATCGAATAACTTTATTGGATCCTTTGAAGTAGTGAGGATTAATTGTAATATCTTATTTCTATGCTCATTTCAAATGATGTTATATCAGTTGTCCATTTAAATTACCAATTATATATTGTGATAACCAATCACCTCTAGGCGCAAATGACTAGGTGTGTCTCATTTCCTCCATCACTGTGATTCAAGATAAGTGCCATATTTCGTTCATCTTCATTAAATCACAGTTGCCAATGTTTCATTGTACCTAAGCTTGCTTATTTTGTAACATATTTCTGTTTTACGTTTTGTTATGAATGCTAGCTAGGTCAAATCCTTTAAGGTTTTGCAGCACAGAAGAACGGTATTTAGTTGACTGTATTGTACAGTTTCAGCTGGAGTCGTTGGAAAGAGCTACTTCATTACTTAAAAAGTTGTGTTAACTTTACATCATTTAGTGCGACTGTTGCATTAAAAGTT